CCTCCAACAAAATCAAAGCCCTGCCCCTCTCTGATCTAAAGGCTCTGCCCGCCTGGATCAAGAACAGCCTGTACTTCCACAACAACCCCCTGCCCTGCACCTGTGATTTGCATGGCCTGGTGGCACACTGGCACCTCAAGGCGCTCAGCTCTACTATGGACTTTAAGGATAGCCACACTTGTTTGTTACCAGGCCTACAGAAAGAGAAAATGGCCATACTGGATCTTGACAAGCACTATTTGAACTGCAGTGAGGTCAAGGTTATGGACAAATCCGCCTATCTGGAACAGCGCCTGGTCCTGGACTGTGACAGCAGGGAGAGGGAAATGATGAAGAACTGGGTTCTGCCTGGAAACATCTCACTGTCTCCTGCCATGGAGACGCTTGATGATGGCAGCCTCCTGATTGGGCCCCTGAAGGCAGAGGACTCTGGGGTCTACACCTGCTATGCCACAAGTGACTCCTTTAATGAGACGCTGTATGTAACTGTAACCGTGTTTAATTCCACTAAAAGTGGTGGGCTTGAGAACCTAAAGACGGCCTACACTACCCTCATAGCATGTCTGATCAGTTTAGTTATGGTTCTCATCTACCTCTATCTCACACCGTGCCGCTGCGCATGTTGTCCAGGACAAGGCCTGGAGAAAAGCGACAGTTTCCACTCTTCAACTGTGAGCCTCTCTCAGGCACATGAGGAGACGGGGCAAGAAAGAGGGGAAGGCCGAGGCTTCGCCTACAGACATGTGGCCTTCATGCAACCCAAGGACCAGCTAGAGCAGAACGGGAGGTTGAACCCAATAGAGGAAGACGAGGAGTGTCAGGGGGACAGGGAGAGAAGGAGGTCTGACGCAGAGTCTGTCAGCTCAGTGTGCTCAGATACCCCCATGGTGGTGTGAAGTCAGTGGCACAGCCTGGAGGGTAAGACAGTGATGGCTCGACCCATGTGGCTTCTGCAAAGAGATTAGTATGCACTGTTACAAATTCAAATCAAAAATACATTATCAGAACAATTTCCTGATAAAAACAACATAGAAACAGCCCAACACATAGTGATCATGCAGAAACATGTGATTTCTTTAAAAGAGGAATTAGTGTGACGTTTTCTGAAAATTATTGTCAGGCCCTGCAAGAAATTGCTACGCAAGCAAGAACGAAAAGAGTTTAAGATATGTATTTAATTATCTTTAGGGATTCCTCAAAAATATAATACTAACACTTATAGACAGCAAACAGCATGACAACAGCTTGCGTCTGAATAACATAATTGCTGCTTGAAAAAGTAGCTAATTGTATGCAGAGCTCACCAAATAATCACTGTTAGATGCTTAGAGGTGCACTATGTCAAATATGGCTCACATTTAGGTTAAAAACGAACTAATATTATCAACAGAATGTGAAAAGGTTACAGACATTATGTCCAAGTGTCTAGTTATTGTCTTTCAGAGATAAACCTAATCCTCTCAGAGTTTCGGTTGAATTTAGCTTATTCTTGCCCCGCTGTTAGTAAGTAGTTTACTTTTTTTAACTGATTACATAAATTGTAAGGACCCAGTTGTAGAGGTAAAAAAAACACTACATGTCGCCATGCATTTCACATTGCACCTTTAATATAATGACAATTTCACATTCCTGTTCGGTTATGATGCCTTTACAGAAAATATGGAAAAGATCACATTTATGCAATATTTTCAATTTACATTATTTAAGATTTGAGTGGGATTTAATGCTCAGTTAAATATGTGTGTTGGCAGTAACTGAGCTTCTGTTGAAGTTTTTTTTTTAAAATACTGCTTTGTATGCAAGCCTTTTTTAGATACAGCATAATTACAGAATTATAAACCCAGCCTTATACATTGTATTTTCACTGAAATTCATTTTATCCAGAAATCATTATTTATATATTTAATGTAGGTCGTAGTCTCCATAAAAAGAAACACAAGATAACAAAAAGTTGATTTACTAATTTGCAATAAATTCATTAGCACATAAACATTACCCATGTGGTCTGCAGACATTTTAGTTAAGAGTTGACCACTGCATTTTTCAGTTTGAACTGTTTAAAAAGTGGTTAATCATGTTCAAATGAACTAAATGCCAACTTAGGCTAGACTTAGATACATGACAGGGGATTCAATTCCCATAAATAACCCTCTTTTATCATCACAATGCAGTGAAAACGATATGTTCAGTGTGGGATTCAGACTGCCGACATCCAATGGAGAGTGAGTAGCAGAACGGTCCGAGGGGAACAACTGAGAGCAAGTACCATCCACCGAATGTTTCTGGGCATTAGTGCCCAACCCTCAACAAATCAGCAAATGCCAGCCAGCTAGCTAGCAGTCTCATAAACACCATCAGAAATAGCAGCTCATAGTGCAGCCAACATGCAGGGGGCACAGATGAAATGTAAATATAGAAGTAGCAGTTTTCAAACCCATTTTTATTTCTAAAATACCTTCAAACTGTTGATTTGAACTTGAGCAATGTTAGAAAATAAACCAGCAAGAGATTCAGTCCATGCAAAAGATGTTTTGACAAACCTATCGTCACTCTGGCTCTACTGTGATTAAACAACTCTCACAAAAACACATCTGAAAGTAATATTAATGATATAAATAGAATAATTCAGTGAAGCGTTTTAAGCAAAACACAATCCCAGATGACAGATGTAGCAATGTACACTAAACGTACTCTTATATTGGAAGGAACTATTACTTTATTACTGTCACTTCTCGTGGTGCCTTTTCAAGATAAGCTGTGGTGAATAAACACGATATATTAAATGTCTTTGTAGGAATTCTAGCACTGAACACATGACGTTGTGTGTGTGGTTTTGTAGAATTATAATGTAGCTAAACATGAGGAACTTGCTGATGTTGTACACTTCATATTTTTCCTGTGAAAGTTTTTACCAAAGACTGAGTTACATGCAGAGAATTAATAACCTACGTGTTCAGTGTTTACAGTCAGCACCGTTATATTTATGTTGTTGTTACCAACCGTATTTTCATTGTTTGAATTCAGCCATAAACTGAGACTTTTATATATGCAATCCTATATAAGGACTTATTGTATTTCATTATTTGCTGCAATATATCGTGTCTGTTAATGTATTGTTTCTGTATTTAATGTACTAAAAGAAAACATGGAAACTAAGCGCGAGTGATGTCTGTTATATTCCTGAAAGGTGAATGTATTCAATCTTTCTAACAAAACTGCAGGCAAGTAACCTTTAAAAGATGAGTTTGGTAATCAATATTGGGTAATCTATATGTCAAGACAGTTATTGAGTGTATTTCCCAAATTGTTAGAGTACTCCGCATGTGACAGAACAGATGGCCTGACATGGACGTCTGTTTAAGTTGCGATCAGACCTCGGCTTGCCTTCTCTAGTTTGTGTATCACATGGCACAGCCTACTTGTTCACTTCAGGGTGAAACTTGAGACAGCACAGCTTGCTGGAGCGGAAACCGTTCACACAAGAAGGCATATTTTATTGTACCTGTCCCCAAGACTTACTTTCTTCTGGCAACATTCGGTGCCGTCGGCTTTTCAACCTTATTTGGCTTGTCGACCACAGGATCTGCCTGAGCAGAGTGAGCACCCTGGTCTGTACTCTCTCTCCTCTGCCAGACAGGAATAGTCAGCTGGATTTGTAGTCGTCATATTTAGGTCTCATATTCAAGTTTTAAAACATTATCTTTAAAGGTCCCCTATTGTACTTTTTCCATCAATATATTATAGGTCTCAGATATATACAAAACATGTCTCTGAAGTGTTGGCTCGAAATACCAAACAGATCATTGTAGCATCCCATAATCCCCTCTGTTTCAAAAGTGCTGATTCTCTGTCTGTTACTTTAGATGAAAATAAGGAGCCACTCCCCACGCCCGTCTGCGAGATATTTGGTTAAAAAGAACACAATGGTGCTCTAGGAGGAGATTCAGGTGATAAGGTGGGGGGGTTGATGATTGGCAAATGGTTACACAAGCCAAAAAAACGTTATGAAATCATAAAGTGGCCAAAATCTGATCAGCTCATTTTCAGACAGGTTTTTATATAAATGGATCAGGAGAGAAAGACAGTGAATCATTTTTCCTGAAACTTTCAGAATCTCTTTCCACAGAGGGGACACATGTTTATGTATAAAAGACGTGAAAAAGTGGATTTTGCATAATAGGTGACCTTTAAGTTTAGTTGCATCATTAATCATTATGTGAAATGCACTACATAACATTTTGTCACGCGACAGTGCAGAAAATGTGTGCAGAATCATTTTTTCAGGGTCAATTTTTGTAAAGAAGCTGCTCCATCTTCCTGACAGGCGCTGCAGTGTGAATCCTCACCTGCCGCCCTGCAGCCTCTCTGCAGGATGAATGATTGACGAGGTCTAAAGGATGTCCATACTGCCTCTTTCAGTAGCTGCTGTCTCATCTTACCATGTTACCCAGAAATACATGCAACACCAGCCAGGTGTGTGAAACTAGGTTAAAACAATTTGAATAATGCAAAGCAGCAATGCAGCATTGAAATCAGACTTTAAAAGTATTTCATTATTGAATATTAAAGAGGATTGCCTGATAAAAGAGTTACTGTAGGAGGTATGACAGGGTTAACGATCTGTGTGTGGATGCATATCTTAAAATGGAAAAACAGCTAAATCACAGACTATAATTAGAACAAATACAGCAGCCTAAAGAAAATCTGAGATCACTGAATATCACAGATGGCATGAATGTAAGCCGGCGCCTGTTGACAATGAATGACTGGCAGTGGGTTCTGTGTTAGGGAGAATGCATTCTAAGTAAGATGAGTCACCCTCTCCGCAGGCCCCTCCCAGGAGGATCACATGGATCACATAAATCACATGAATGAGGAAGTGACTGTCCTCTCTGAGTCCTCTGCCATCTAGTGGCCACGAAGCATTTGGGTTGACTGTTCCAGCCTTTGCAGAATATTGCAGGAATTTGAACCCTCCTCTACAATAAAGACATGCTGACTTTAAGATCTGAAAGGTTATGTTTATTAGTGTCATTCACAAATATGACTGCTTTTACACTATAGTTTGTGGTGGTGGACAGTAGCCTAACTACATTTACTCAAGTGCTGTTCTTACTTTACTGCATTACATTTATTTGATAGCCTTAGTCATTCTGACAATTCAGATTAATAGTACTAAATATAATATGATATATTATCATAGGTTAATACACGACTTTGCAAGCTACTTGGTAAATGTATAGTAAATAAAGTGAAATATGCTTCTCCTTTACCAGCTGCAACAATAATGAACATATTCATACATCAATCATTATAACTTGTTATAATATATAATATCCTATACGACAGTGTGCAGAACCGAACACAAATTCAGAAGTTTGTACTTGTAACAGAATATTTCCAAAAATTGGGATCAATAAAGTACTATCTTATCTCTTATCTTATCTTCTACTTGAGCATAAGTATATAATTTGTTCATTTGCAGAATAGTGAATTGTGATTATAAACATAAAATCAATTACTTTCTAAATATCAGCAGTTGTCTGAAGCCTCTAACAAACAGCTACTATCATTTCAAAGAGGCCCAGTGTTTTCACACAGACTGAGCAAAGCCCACCCTGTTGTTTCCGATGTCGAAGGCGGTGTAGTACTGCCGCATGAACACCTCTCCCAGGATCCAGGGGCCGGCTCCAAACCCTGTGCTGCAGCCGGACGAAGACTGAGGAAAGAGGACATGATTCAACATCATCTTCATCACCTCAAGTATAAATACTGGAACAAACGTAAATCTGTCTAAATACTTAAATTGTACAACTAACTAGTATTGTATACATAAAAGGTTTATATGTTGCAACCAATGCATTTTACGGCATGTACTTTATAGTTAGAACATTGTACAGAAAGGTGTTATTGTCATTTAGCCTACCCTCATTGATGCAAATGGTTACACTAAATTTAAATTAAAAAAACTGTTAGTGAAATGCAATACAAAACTTAATTCAAGAAGTTGTATTAGACTGCATTACTTTAGCTAGCTGTAACTAGGACATTGGCAACTGAATGTATACAAAAACAACACATATATATATATGTGTTTCTTGTGGGTCAGCTATTGCCTGTGTATAAATATATATTCCTAACCAATGTGTTTGCATGTTTAATGTGTCTTTATGTGACTCCCCTCTGTTACACAGCAGGCTGTGAGAAATCCCTTTGGCTGACGTTAAACAGGCTTTGTCTTTGAGCTCAGTCTGTAACACATGAATAAGAAACCCTTCCCTCAACCACTTACTTCTGGAAACAACAACATCCAGAACCATAATCTATTTATCCTTCATGCTGATGGTAAAGAGTTATGGATTGCCTACAAGGATGTAGCTGCAAGTATAAACTTATGTTATATAGATATTGATTCAGATGCCCTGGAGCTCTTTTTAAAAACATAATGGTTAGAATTTCTCATGTGGGGGTTCAGATGAATCCAAAGAGCTAAAAAGACACATGAAGTTATAATGGAGTGGATATGCATTAGATTAAATCATTTTCTGTAAACCTGGCAACCAAAAAGTTGTCCATATTATAAATGAATTATTAACCTCTATAAAGCAAACATTTCTCCTAACAGTGGCTTATATTATGAGTTATTAACTTTCATAAAGCCATAACCTTTAACTATAAATGTTGATGTTTGCATTACAAAGAAGTAATATAGTACTCAAAACACAAACCTGTATTACGTAGGCTGATGGAGGAAGAGCAAAGTTGTAGCCGTTTATGTTGAACATAATTTCTGGCAAGCTATTCGTGTTCCTGCAGCTCACAGAAGCCTAAGAGACAGATTAACAAAATGTTACCTTTTAAAACCCAAAGCCATTCACTTAACATATTTCATATAATGCAAAATGATTACAACACTCACTTCACCAAACTGATCTGTGGAGGCTCCCAGCCAGCCGTTGATGTTGTTAATGTCTTTGCTTGGGCCGATGATGTAAGAAGTCCCAGAGTCCACTACTGCTTCACAACCTCCAGAGCAGGCCACAGTGTTCCCATTGATGGTGATGCTGCAACACAAAGGAAGTGTCATTAAAAAAAGAAGAAGACCTCTGAATGATGTCAACTGTGAAGTGGCTATATGTTTAAAACACAGCATGGACATTTCAACTTGAAAAGGAAACTACCTTTGTATCTGGATGTTCCAAAAGTTAGTGGCTCCGTACAGGGGGATCCAGTTTAGGCTTCCAGAGTAATAGCTGTGATCTGTTCCTCCCAGAAAAAGCATACTGCCCTCTAGAGAACTGGAGGAACAGAGATTTGAAAGAAAAAAATTAGCACTGCACCAGTCATAAAGCATCCTCTTTCACATGTAAGTTGTTTTACAGCATTATTCCTCTGTGGGTCTCAAACACGCCTCACCTGCTCAGGTACATGGAGAACATATTCTGGGGGATTTTGCCCTGGTTCCACATGTTGTAAAAAATAGGTGTGCCTCCCTCTTGTGACAAGCCAGGGAAGGCCAGACCAAGAATCCCATCCCAGGGAACATAGTAAAGGAAATTCGCCTCTTCGTCAGCGAGGCCAACGATCTGGTGCTCCACGTAGAGGTCGCCTACCTGATTAGGAAGTGCAAATAGTCAAATGTTATAGGAAACTGAATTAGGATTATAACCGAAGTACCTGTATATTAACGTAAAAGTTGAAGTACAGGTTGCAATGTGAATTATATATCAATTAGGGCCGGGACTCGATTAAAAAAATTAATCTAATTAGAGGCTTTGTAATTAATTAATCGAAATTAATCGCATTTTTAATCGCATATACATATTTGACCTAAGAACAGTGAGAAGCAATTTTTTTTCACATGGATTTTAGTATACCATTAGGCGCATTCACACCGCAGTACTTTTCCCACAAAGGTTCATGAGAATTTAGTTCATGAGAACTCTTTGAACCTGGGGGTGGATTACGCAAATGAAGCCGCTGACGTCACTTCTTCTTCTTCTGCTTTGGGTTTACTGGCAGGCCGCAAACCACTTCACGGCGTATACTGCCGCCCAAAGTCCCCGGCCGGAAGTCCCCGGAGTTGGGGACTGGCTTCAGTAGAAGCTGCTGGGAGTCCCAGCAGCCTTCCGAGTAAATCGCCAGAACGCCGACACCTCCTCATCTCCACCGCTCCCATGTTTTATTTTGTGTTGCCATAAGTTAGTCTCTCTGCGTTTCTGCGCTGGGCTAATGCTAATAATGCTAATGCGAGGATAATAAAATGGCGGCTTCACAAAACTTTTTGGGAGTTTTACGGGGCGTGGTTTGCAATCAGAAATATAGCTCTTTTCTCACAAGAGAGCCGTACGAAAGTCCCTGCTCTCTAGCAGCTCTCTGCTCTCTAGCAGGGACTTTCGTGGGGGTAAAAAGGTTCTCATGAACTAATTTTAGTACCGGCTCTTTTTGGTGTGAACGCGATAAAAGAGGCTAACGTCCACGCTAGCTGCTATATGTTTTGCATTGAGGTGATACTTGAGGCTTGATGTGCTGCGGTGATATGCGAATTCCTTTTTGCATAATTTGCACACAACCGTGCTCTTATCAACGCTTCCATCCGTCCGTTTTTTTAAAACAACATTTCCCACTGTTGTTCACTGTGGTTTGTTGTTGTCTGAAGTCATGAACGTTAGTTGGTGCTCCAGTATAATCGGTACGCCTGAAACTCATCCAGTGAGAAACGTTCCGCGGTGCAAAAATAAGTGCGATTAAAATGCGTTAATTTTTTTAACGCGTTAATTTTTGTGTAATTAATTAATCTTAATTAACGCGTTAAAGTCCCGGCCCTAATATCAATATCACATCCGAGGCATAAGTAACATTACATGGTTATTGGTTAGTACTGAGTGTTCATGATTATTCTACTTATAGTTGGGTTATCTCCAGCGGTTCCCTGGGCTTAAGCTAAACATTTTGGAAATCACAGGTTTAAACATAATTTTGTAAATGATGAATCTGGAAAGTAACTAGTAATTTTAGCTTTCAACTAGAGTACGGTATTTCCCTCTGAAATGTAGTACTTATTACTTTCTACCACTTGTCAACAGTTGGTAAAGGATGCAGTGTGAATGTTAACTCCTCACCTTTACGATATCATATCCTGTGGTTCCTGATGCATATCCGCTGATGTACGATATGCGGAAAGTATTTGAGCCGGCCTCAAAAGTGGAGGATGCCGAGCTGCTGAACATTACATGATTGCCTAACAACAGAGAGGCAAAGAGAAACAAATAAAGTGTTGCTTCATCATACACAAAGGCATGAAAGACTTTAGAGATCAGATTTACTGTCAATTCAGAATTACAGCAAGAACTAAGGATGCAACTAACAACACTTTTCTTATCAATAAATCACACTGCCAATCTTTGGATGGCTGTTTGACATCCAGGATCCTCACTTTGTTAAATGAAGCTGCCACACTCTTCACACTCACCACAGGCGGAGCTGTTGCAGCTTGTGGAGGGAACCCATAAGTCGGAGGAGCCGGTGTCAAAGAGGACTTTAAAGACCTGAGGAGGGGTCCCGATGCCAATCTCTCCATAGTATGTAGTCTTTTCCCAAAATGAGATCATTAAGTCAGTTTCATGACTGCACAGGGCAGTGTATGCAAGTGTTACAAGATTCAAGAGTCATACTGTAGACAAAGGCGTTATTGTCATATGCCCCATACAGTATCTACAGAAAAGTCATTCACAGGCTCCTTCTAAAGTGCAACATATAACATACTTGAGCGTAAAAACATTGAAAAAGAATAGTGCAAAGACAAAAAGAAATACAATTGTGCAAGAGAATGGTGCAAGGACACAATGGTGCAAGTGAAATGAGTAAACTACATACATGTAAAATAGAGTAAGATGTCAAATTAAGTCTATGTACACCAGAATAAAACATGTTACTTACATCAGGGTCAAAGGTCAATTGCACCACAGTCTGCTCGACCCTTGGAAGAAACTTAGCTGTCGGGTTGTATGGAAACTTCTTCCTGTACTCCTGGAACAGGCCTCTCTCGTCCAGCTGTTGCCGGGCAGACTTCCCTCTCTTCAGGGGAATCCTGAGCAGGAAGATTAACAGTTATCTGGAAACACACTCACCAGCACGTTGCGAGGATAGGTCAGACCTCATAACTTATCCTAAAAAGGAGTTTCGATCTTGGAGTGATTTAGGGAAGGAGAAGAGGAAAATAAACGACCGTGTTTTTGAGAAGGTCAAGAGCTTGTCTCAGAGGAGGCTGGTTATTAACAGTTGGATTTAAATGACCATATTATCAAGAGCACTTTACAGTTTGCTCCACATTCACACAACAAAGACAGCTGTTAGTGCAGGCAGTGGTCTCTAAAACATTGAATTGTGTACAATCTGAGGTTCTTGTACTTGACATGAGTTTACATTTAATGCTTCTTCCACAGCAATGCATATCTGAGGTAACTATTGTACAATTTACTGCATTGCATGTTTTTGATTAAATTCAAGGAAGCAAACTCTATACTTCTCCATTTTCTTCAGTGATTTCATTTTTTTCTTTATGACATTTTAGCAAATTTAGCTCTTTGCCTTTTTTTGTGTTTTATTTTGCTTAAAACATAGTATTTCTACAATGTGGCACTGCTGCTTTTACTTTTTTCCCACTGCATGCAGGTGCATACGTTACTAATTCAGTTACTAAACCAGTAAATATTACACATTTAATAATATTTCAGTGGTTGATGCCGACAAGTTTTGCTTGCACTTTATCAAAAATAATCTTGGTAAAACCGATTTTATTAAAAACATCTGAAACTCTTCAACCTTTTTGAAGAACATATTTATATGTTTATATTTGACTTCAAAAGGACAAAAATAATCTACTATTAGAATAAAATCAGGATCAAGATGATGCACTGTGTTCTAGAAAATAAATAAAAAATGAAAGTCTCAAAATGCAAAGCTTAACCTGATTTAATTATTTTTAAAAAACATTTCAAATATTTAAAAAAATTAAAACAAAATTTAGGCAAAAACTGTCAAAAAATATATTTTCTTTTACAATAAGTTGGTGTGTGTTGTTTATCTTACCTGAGAATTCCCTGCGAGACAGCCAAGAAGGCCAGGAACACAAATGCAGACTTCATTATTTCTAAATGTTCCCGATGTAGATCTCCCAGGTCTTTATATAGAGGTCAAAACTAGTGTTAACTCCTCCTTGTTACAGTAACACTTCAAACAGGTGAACTGATAAGAAACCACTTTACAGAGCGTCAAATGCATAAATTCAGATAAAGGAATGAATGGGAAATGAATGTGTTTTCCGTAATGCACTATAATCTATTGCCAGGAAAAATACATCATTTATCTTCCTCAGTTCTTTATTCAAAGTTAACTTTAGAAATCAGCATTCAAAATCAACACAGAACTGTTTTGATATGTGTTTGAATACAAATCGCTGTACAATGAGTTCCACCCTTTCAATTGTCTGTTTCTGTTAATAATTAATCAAAATGAACTCAATGGTGAAAACAATGTATCGGGCCTCAAACCATAAAACATTTCAAATGAATATACAAATAGTAAATGATATGACATGTTTTGTAATTGTAAAAGAATTACATTGAAAAAGTTAAAGATGAAAACCTGTATATTGTGTAATCCTCACTGATTAACAAAGACCCATAGCTTTATATTTTATTTAATATTCCATTCCCTATACAATTAATGTAAATAAGATCCTACTTTATATTGTGTTAACTTAAAATTGTTTTATTGTCAGAGTTTATAGACGTTCTATCTTCACGGTCTACTGTATATTTTAATGCTGTTTTATTTCTATTTTGAGATGTTTACATTTCAGAATTGTTTATTTCTACTCATGAGCGATAACTTGTTTTGTTTTTCATGCTTCTGCAACGCAAAAAAATACCAATTTGGGATCAATAAAGTACATCTTATCTTATCTGATTTGGTCATCTTGTGTCAGCCTGTGTGATAAAACACAGATCAAATGACATTTTAAGGAATTATGTGAAGTCCAGTTCTGAGTTTTAGGGAAATTATATAACCTATTAAACAGAAAAGGTCTTCTCTGTGTCACAATCTGAAGTTGCCACGGACAACATCACGTTCACTTTAGCAAACAATAAGATATGGACAACTAAAATAAATGTTCAGGTGTATTTCAGCACATTCTCCCAGCAGTAAGATTATAAGAGGTGAGAGAGCGGTGAGGTTTGACCTTTCCCAGACTCCTCTGAATGACTTTCTGTTGACTGTTCTCATCTATTGTGTGTACCTTTAGAAAGAAATGTAAAGTAGAATTGACTACTTTAAAAAGGTCCCTTTGTTTCATAAAATAATGCCCTGTCACATTAAGGGGTGTTCTAAGTATTAATGGCTTTTACAAGATAAAGAGTAAATGCAAACGTTATTGACATTACCCATAATACAATTATCACCTGTCAAGCGTAAATCAACTGGATAAGCTTATCGTATTATTTATTTTAAAAAAACACTGATAGTGTATTGTTTCTCCCTCTGTGAGTTCAGGGAGTTTAACATGCCAACATCTCACCCTGCCCTCTAGAGGAGCAGCAGTCTAAAGACCAGATCAGACCACTCACACTCAATAAATAAAACACAACATCAGAATAGGTTTAGAACAAGAGCTGCTTTTATTTAAGCACAAACAAATGCAATGTAGATTATTCATATAGAATACTAACAATTAATGAATAAGAAAAGACCACATTTTGAAACAAATGTTAAATATACTCACCAAGGCATGGCTTCTGTGGTCTGATGAAATCCTCGTGACTTCAGATTCATAACAGCGGAGTTAATTCAAAGGGATGAAAATAAGTCGTCTTTTCTCCAGGCGTGGACAACCTGCAATACTCTCTAGTTATGACAGGCACATTCAAAACAAATCTGTAAAGAACACAGCATACTGTCAACAATAACAATCATCTCTGGGTTGGCCTCATATTTAGAAGTTAATCGGACAGTACATTTTTTTATTGGAACACACTTTTTACAGGATAACAAAATATGTTTGATTTGTTTATAATTTTGACTCTAAAACTGAATTATAATTCATATAGAGTAAAAAGAAAATACATTTAGGTTTGTTTTAAACTCTTTTACTGTATTGACAGCTTCCTGTCACATGCAGGTTTCTTATCTAAAATACAGAAAACTAGGACTGATCATTTTCGCTTATTATCTGTTGATTTTTTTTTCCGATTATGAGATGGTTGTGGTTCGGTCTCTCAAATGTCAGAAAATGTTAAAAAAAAAAAAAATCATGTAGGCCAGTGTTTCCAAAAGCCAAAGAACATTTCCTCAGATTACTCAAAAGGTTATGTTACCATCCTAACATATCTAATATAAATAATTACACTTATAGCGATTATTTACATATCTGACCCACCACTACTGACAGCGCACTGCAGGATGACTAATACTGCTTTTATAATGTCAGATTAAGCCACCGCCTGTTGAACATCGTAACCAGTGATGACTCAGTTAGGATTATCGATCACTAAAGCTTCTGTTGAGAAATCTCCAATAGTATGTATTAATAAATTTAAATAAACTAGCTAAGATATCAATCCAAAGAAAGGCACATGGGTAGGATAAAGTAAAAACAGATCTTTTAAGAAATATTCCATGAATCATGTTATACGTCTTCCTGGTTGACTAATGGCAGGTTCCTAATGTTTGGTATGTAACATTTACCTACATGTTGCTTTACAGGAGCTTTCTTGTAGTGATTCAATGGGATAACATGACTCCGTGTGAAACTCAGTTAACTACAGAAACTACCATTTTTGTTTAGCAAACATACATATTACCAAAAAGTCTGTAATTTAACCTCTGACCTAACCCACCTCGTTTTATCAAAGTCCAGAGCTCAAGTTGTCAAATCATGTCAAAAGGAGCGTTACATGCTTGTTTAGTTGGGACTTATCACCTCAAACAACTGGCTTTTTTGCTGGCATGTGACTTTCTTGAAATTATATTTTGCTATCATTTCCCATCAGCATTTATAAATCGTGACTTTTGCTGGTGCGTTTATTTACCAACACTAACATTATTTGTAATTTGACTAATCTAAAAGTGTCAGAATAATCAGGAAATAAGTAAGTAGACCTGACTGACGGGATATTTGCTAAAAACTATAAAATAACACCTGACAAATGTGAAAGTAAAAATGTTTTTTGTTTGTTTTTCACATGGGATGGACAGCATCAGTTCAGGTAAATCATTTTCTGTATGTTTTTGGTTATAGCTATTAAATAGGGTAGTGTGTGTTGCAGTCGTCTTACACATTGAATACGTACCTGGTTCAGTGGTTTGGGACATCTTGATACTTTACCTGTGGATTAGGAGCCGCCAGAGGAGAGGGAGACTCGAACCCTCCAGGAAACCATGACTCTGCGGTGGCGGGGTGTGGACACTTGTCACTCGTCGTCTTTGTTGGCGATGAAGCAGCGATGAGCAGCAACAGCACCGTCTTGATGATAAACATCCTGACTCAATGACAGCAGGATACTCTTCACTTTCATATGCAGTTAAAAGAGTGTGTAAATCACATCAATATCTCATCTAAAGATTCCCTGCACAGGCAATCTGTTCTCTTCTGTCGTGTTTCCTCTCCATTTTAAAAGGCCAATAAAGCGGATGCTGCGTCACTGTCTCGACCTTTCCTCCGACTCGGGATGAGACACATTTTGAAGTCTGGCCCTAGCACAGAGATCTTCTTCAAAACTCCAATGCAAGAACAACAAGCAACTACACAAATGAACTCTGCTCCTCTCTCGAGCGGCTGCAGGCGGCGAAACAACCCTCTGGATGCTGGAGCCAGGTGAGAGAGAAGGCCGGGGGCCGCGGTGCTTCCTCTGGGGGGGGGGGGCCGGCAGACGCACCACCAGCTGATTCTGGCAAAACGTGGACAGATGATTCTCAGCCACACCTCGGGACACAGTGACTCTAAATTTGCCTTTGCTGAGGGACTGCCAAAAGTATTCTAGTTTGGGCAAATTTCAATTTGAATCACGCTCCTCACAAATGATGATCAACCAAATGAAACACAGAACCTCCCATTGATTCTCACACTTCCTCTCCTTTCTGCAGGGAAGGCTCCTGCTGTCAAAGTGATAAAGCCTTCAGAGTTTGAAAGACAATTCCAAGAACAGAAAAGGTCACAAAAGTTGTCTTCCGAGGCACTCGTGTTTCCCACGTAAGAGCAAATTTATTGAGACAAAATCTATCGAGTGCATGTCGCACTGTGACAGTTAGGTATACTTCTTAGGCCCATGAGCACTGATGTTCTCCATTTCTCTCTCCAGATATCCTGAGTATACAGCACAAATCATTTCTTTTCTCCTTTTGAAACAGTATTTATATCAATGCATAAAAAACAATCATTCAAAGTCCTTTCAGAGGAAGGCGTGGAAGGCCGTGAGATCAGCCTCATTCATTCAGAAGTCCTTTGATAGCGGAGCAATGATTTATACTTTTAGACTCCTGATCAGTCATTCGAAATGTGAAGGGCATACATAGAGCGCTTCATTTATAGGTTACATTAATCTTTTTTAAACAGTACATGCTTTGCTGGGGTAGTATATGTAATTAGTGGATAATAAAAAAGTGACAAATGTATTAACCAATGACTGTTTACCCAAATTAAAGGGTGGCAATTACAGTACAATATAAAAAGGGTGGACACAAACACAACCCTGTCTAATCTGCCACTCAAAGAACCCATGTACAACACATAGCTGTGCACAGCTGGCCACATGGGGGGTGTGGAGACTCCACCATAATAATATTTAGAGCTGAAATGATCAGTTAATTGTATTTAAACTACATTATGATATATTTGACTGTTCAAAGGAACATCAAAGCTACCTGAAGATCGTCACTGTGATTATATGGATTCTTTCCCCCACTCTTCTGATGTTTTATTGACCGAATAATTGTTGAATTAATCATAAAACAAACCAGTAAATGAATAAAAACTTAAAATAATTAGTTTCAGCTCTAAATATTAACATAAAAACAGTTCAAAAACCTTGAGGTCAGAAATAAAGACAGAGCTAACATCATTTGAACTCGCTTTATGAAGCCAGTACTTTGCATTTGAACTGTTTAGCTACACTATGATGTAAAGGTGTCCACCACTACATACTTACAAAACATAAGCATGAACCTAAACCTTGTAATGACACATTCACCTCCAGATGTGGCTTCAAAGGACAACTGAAGTTTAATGTGATCTATTATACTTGAATCCTTAAATGTTTAACACCATTGTTGGAAGCTTAAAGCAGGAGGGGCCAAATGTGACAGAAATAGAAAAGCTGTTATAAATGAAAATGTGAATCAAATGTTTACTTTGTCAGAAAGAAAATACAGATGCACATCTGGAATCTGCCTATGAATCAGTAAGCTTTAGAGCAAGTAGATATATATTTTAGATCTTCTGTACATGACTTTGAGTTCATCCTTTCATAGACTGGCTGTACAAACATTAGAGCACTACAAACATGTTGACACTGGCTAAATCTATGCCGAGTACACATCAAAGGAAAGCACTATTCTTTGTTTTGAATCTTAAATTATCTTTTGTTATAGGCAGGCATTGTGTGAAAGAATATAAAGGACGTGTGTTTCTCTTTAAATGATATAAGGCAACACATAGTATTGATTCACTGCACTGTAGCTTGCTCTGAATGACTTGAAGCAAAGTACCTTTCAAGTCAAACACATCTGAAAACTAAATAGCAGAAAGCAGTGTGTCACCGGAGTAATCATCACATTTATCAAAATGTATTCAATACCATGTGACTTTGACTTTCATAAAACTTCAACAAGTAAACTGATCCCTATCATTTCCTCTTCTTTCATTATTATTTCTACCTGTTTTTACAACCCACAATTGAACAGTTCATGAGCGTGAAAAGGAACATGTAGACATTTTGTTTTCAGGACGCTCCTCTGATAATGACCATCACCATGTAATCGTCCTCTGATTTGGCAAAGGCTAGAGCAGAGGCATCCACGAACTGCTTTGAGAACTCACATGGGGGGAAAGCGTGAAGAACTCCCGCGTGGTCCTTGTCACGCCCCCCCCCCACAGGGAGGCTGATGATGCCGGCCGCCTCCTTCTGCTTCAGGTAGGACACCAGGTTCTTCAGGGGTCTCTCCGCGCTGCTGGCGTCCTGAGTCGCTCCCTCCTCAGACTTCCCGGGCACGGCCATGAGGATGGCGTATCCGCTGGAGCCGGCGGCCTTGATGCGGCGAGACACTTCATCCAGTTTGGGCTGGTCGAGGCGCAGGCGCTGGCTGATCTTCAGCTGGGACGCTGCACTCCCTGCAGAGCCCGGCAGCAGCAGGCTGGACGCCACCGCCATGTCCCCCTCCAGCAGGTGCAGGGATGTGGGGAAGCTGCTGTTCTTCAGCAGGAGGACGCCCTGCCAGACCTGACTCAGCTTCTGTCCTGCAGCTGGGGGCTTAGACTGCTGACCAGATTTGGAGGAAGGATGTTCCTCCTTCCTCGCTGTGTCGCTGGCTTTGAGTTTGCGGTCCTTCTCGGAGCCCGGGGCTGCTGGGCTCAGGGTTTTTCTTCTCTTGTCTCCAAAGGCAGTGTTCTGGCGTTCTCGGACAGGGGACGTTCTGCCAGAGCGAGACAGGCGTTCAGGATCACTGGCGCGCCCCCCGTCCCGGCTGTTTCCTCCGGGGCTGCGCTCTAATGACTTGCCATGGCGGCGCAGACCAAAGTTACTGTTGTCAGGTGACGGATCCAGTCGGCGTTTGCGGCTAAGATCTCTGCCTTGTAGCTCCCGCTCACGCTCTATTGACCAGGGCTCATGGGGACGCCTGTCCATGCGACCAATGGGGTCAAAGCCCGCTCCCCGCATCCTGTCGGGCACACCCATGCCCGGCCATTCAGCGCTGGTGAACAAGTCCCTGTCTCTGAAGCGACCAGGAAGTGGAGGAGACCTCTCCCTCACCCTCACGGGGTCTGACAGGCGGTGGGCAAAGGGCTCAGGAACAAAGTCATAGTGTGGCAGTGGGAGGGGGAGCTGCATATACTGCTGCTGCTGGTAGCGGTGCTCTGTGTCTGCGAAATCCACCCTGAGTCTCCTGTCAGGACCCCCGAGAGGGAAGCCTCTCATGTGAGTACATGCAGCCTGAGCAGCATCCAAACTTTCATACTGGATGTAAGCCCACACCTCCCCCTTCCTGTAGTCTATAGTTCTGATGGTGCCAAAGCGGTCAAACTCCTTGGCCAGTGCAGCAAGTGAAACCCAGGGTCCAAGGCCCCCCACCCAAAGCCTGGTCGTGGGTGTGGGTTTACCATAGCCTATCTTTATTGGGTTGTGGCCCACCACTTTCCCTGACATTGCTACTTTGGCACGGTGAGCCATGTCCAGATTCTCAAACTTCATGAACCCATAGGTGTTGCACTGGTCTCTCACTGCCCGCTTTATGTCCACCTCTGTGATCACCCCGAACCTGTCAAACGCCCTCCTCAGGTCGCTCTCTGTCACACTGACGTCCAGATTACCCAGAAACAAAGTCCTGTTGGCCCTCTGGTCATCCTCAGGGGTCATCAGGTCCTCCTCACGGAAAACAGCACATTCAGGGATGAACGGGGGTCTATTCCTGGCATCATATACGGAAAAGTCTCTCTCCCTTTCCAGCTCTCTTATGTGAGGTGGAGGAGGAGGAGGGGGAGGAGGAGGAGGGGGGGAGACGGCCCAGAGCCAGCTGCTGTAATCGGTAGTCTCTGTACCCCATGCCAGTGGGGGACAGGGGCCTCTGAGAGTGGAGATGTCTATGTCCTGGAGGGAAATTGTCTTTAGAAACAGGGGAGCGGCTCCGGAGTCTGTTGGTGTAAACTGTCTCTATCTTCAGAGGCCGGTCATACAGCACCAGCTTGCCGCGGGCGTGTTTAGCCGACCTGGCGTCATCCGGCCTCCTGAAGTTTACATATGCCACTCGGTTCTCGTTTTCTCGACTGATTTTAACACTCACGTCTCCAAACCTCTTAAACTCGTGAAACAGCCCGTCTTCTATCTCCTCGTCGTTCAGCTGGTTGCCCAGTTCACTTATTTTGAGAGTCTTGTACTCATTTTCTGGGGTAGACGGAGGCCGCAGGTCGCTGCGTGAACCGGACCTGGATGTTTCCGCCTCGATGTCAGCGCCTCCATACGGCTTGTTCGCAGGAACTACTCCATAGTCGTAGCCGCTGCCGGTCCGACTGGATGGATTGTGTCCGTCTGAATCCCTCATGTCTCTTTTCTCACCGTGTAAGCTCCTCCTGGATGAAGCTCCGCTTTGAGATGAGCCGTTGTTGCTGCCAGCCGTCGACAGGGCTGCGGGCTTCTTGCTTCCTCCTCGGTCTCTGCAGTCATCTGGCGCCCGGGAGCGTTTCTTCACCGGAGACCGCTCTTTCCCCTTCATTTCCGAAAGCCGATGTCTGCCGTCTTCACACAACAATCTGTTTAACTCTAAGCCACTAAATTAGAGCTGAACTCTCTTAACTTTAACGCGGTTTTCCACAACACTCAGGCGAGCGACACAACCGCCATGTTGGACTACTACTTGCACTACTGTACAGGAAGTCCCGCCTTACACGTCACTAGAGGAATGTGATTGGCTGAGCGGGCTGTCGGTCATGTGCTCAGGGTGCGGCCCTGCTGTGGGGTCACGATAAACTGATCTGAAAATGTCAGAAAGATAATTATTGTGACTAGAGTAGCACGAAAAGAGGAGAACACGGAAGTCTGTGTTTCACATAAATATAATATTAGTCTTCAATAAATTATACTAACCCATTTGTGTCAAAATACTATGTTGTTCTGATTGGTCTAAATCTGTTATAGCCTATTGTGTAACATCAGCTTGCAAGTTTAAGATCATCAAGATATGCCCAAATACTTAATGTTGTATGCTACGAGGAACTCCCTTTTGAAAAAAAGCCTCGAGAACATTTCCAAAACAAACCAAAACATATTTTCAACTTCTCAATTATACAAAAAAACAGTATACATTTATTTAGCTTTCATAACCACAACACAACATAGTTAGAATTGTATACAATAGTATAGCAAAGCATTTGTACAGTCTGCATGGTGACCTTGATGTAAGGACACCGACAGTGTATTGAGTAATACTTGGTAGAAAAAACATCACTTCATTTACAGTGGAGGAGGGGCGCTGCTGGGATGAACCAGCTGTTTGCATTTGCAATGACAGGGACTTGACAAGCTGTGTTTAAGTAAAATATATGCATAGTGTGTCTGAGCTGGATAGAATAAGATAGATGATACAAAAAGTGCTATGGAGCTGATCTTTCTACAATTTTTCAGTAATCACTGTACTTTATCTGCAGTATTTATCTGCAACGCTGAGCATATTTGTGTAAATTCACTTGTGCAATAATCACACACGTAATCTATATTGCACAATTTAAAATACAGAAACAAATCTCATGCTATTTTTTTTTTTTTTCAACATATCATTAATTTAGATAATTGATCTGTATGTGTTTACCACCATCAGTGTACCTCTTCTGTTGATGCATGGATATTACTTTATATTCTGTCTTATTTGTAATTAATTGTTTTGCTAGGTCACCATTGAAAAAGAGATTTATCTCAATTGAGTCTGGTTGAATAAAGTTTATACCACAAGTACACCAGCAGGAGGCAGAGAAGCCCCTCCTAACAACCAGGTTTGGTTTGGTTTATCTGTGAAACACAAAGGGAAAACACTTACTATCTGGACTGGCTACAGACTTCAGTTTCCTGATTATTGACTGAAACTCTCCTCGGGGGCTGAGAGGCAGTGGAGTAAAACAGTTAACTTAGAAACCTGCAGAGCGTCTGTATGTCCAGTCTGCACCCTGGATGTAAACATGTCCCATCATTACCATGAAGAAACCACTAATGAAACCTAAATTGCAAGATTAAAAAACACACCAAACCTGCTCAGTTTAACTTTAACTATTTTGTCGAAACAAGTTATTATTTTAACATTGATACATTGTATTGCGCTGTTGATGTTCTGCTTCTCTATATTGTATGAAATAATTAAGATCATTACTCAATACCATTGAGTCACATGTTGAACAACCCCTCAGATGAATTAAATTAGTTTAAGAGTTGACGTTGAGTTTCTTTAGGTTCAATAAAATGTATTAAAAAAAGATCATTTAGATCATGTTACTGTAAAAGTATGATCCAATCCAATCCAACTTTATTTCTATAGCACATTTAAAAACAGCAGAGTTGACCAAAGTGTTGTACATCAATTGATATATATATATAAACAGATAGGACATAAAACACAGGACAATAAATCCATACTAAAAGCCTTATAGACTGAAAACTCTAATACGTGACCCCAATTTAAAAGCACAGACTGACATGTCTTATAGGTGGTCTGCAAACACACGGGAGAATAACTGGGTCTTCAAATGGGATTTAGAAACAGGCAAAGTGGGAACAAATCTGATCAGAGGGGGCAAATCGTACCACAGCCTGGGAGCTGCTCCAGCAAAGGCCCTGTCTCCCCGCTGTTTCAACCTCGACCTCGGGACCACATGGAGGAATCTGTCAGCAGACCTCAGTGACTGGAGGATGTATAAGGTTTGATAAGGATGGCAGCTGTGATTGACAGACCATCTATCTTTGAGTAAGGGGCAGGTCAAATAATAACTCCTTCTCCCTGCTCCTTTCCATGATGGGCTGTTTAAACTGCTCAAAGACGCAGGGTTACAGCCTGCAGGGCAGCAGGGGGGAGAGATGGCATCCAATTATGAGACCATGTTGCTCTATGGACAGAAAAGCTGACAATTCAGAAACTTTTGTTACGCATGTGCAAACAAGTACACACACACCCATTTTCGGAAAGAAGGCAACTGCTTTTTCGGTTAATTTTTCCATTACTTTATGTGAGATTGCTTAGATTTTGAATTAGGGTTAGGCTGAAAAACTAAACATCTCTCTCTGTTTTCCCTGGCTATTTTAGAAAAAAATATATACAAGTCTACTCTTCCAAATTAAAATGTATAAAAGACAAAAATTAATATCCTAATCATTTTTGTTTTGAAATTGTATCATATTTATTTAAATTCTTTGCTCCCAACTTTTAATCTGCTCTCTCTTTTTGTTTCACTAAACAATGTGCCTCTTTATTTGTTGCATCAACCCTGTTGCTCCGACAATGCTTACTGTACATACAGTGTGCTTTGCTGCAGGGGCATTTTACTAAGATTATGTTGTTCAAAAATGGGGACAGAAGCTTTGCCCTCGACCCATGTGAGCTGGACCGGCCCCTGTTTGAGAGACCATCTGGTGAAGTTCTTCTGTAGACTGTCACATGTTCCTGTGCAGGCCCATGCAAGGCAATCTGCCACCCAGTATAATATTGGTTTAAGTGTAGAAATGTGTTCATGCTTTTAATCTCTTCCTAACATCCAGGTCAGTTGTCTGTCCTCAAACCAAAACATTCATCCATCACTGTGTCAACTAAATAGTGCTTACATTTAAAATGGTGGTGCTGATTGCGGCGTGTTCACACCAGATAACAAACAGGAAGAAAACCTATACACAGACATGCTTTTGTTAAATATTTAAAGTAAGAAACATGCCAAATTCACTAAGGCCTGTAATATGACTTCACTGCAATATGAAACCTTCATTATACTGCAACAGATAGGCATTTCATATGATAGTAACCATGAAAAACAGAAAGGGATGCAATGACTTTTGTAAATGAACTGTCAAAGGGGAAATTTGCAAAGGATTAGTGAGGGGAAAAAACAGTTTTTAATGAGTTTCTATTTGTGTTCATTGCATTAAGATGAACAGCCTGACCCACTGCTGGCGTTCATGAGAGACAGACAGATGCTGAGTTACAGGTCTGTCTGAGCATTTCTGCACAACAACCAAAACACAACTGATCCCGCTCCTGTCTCATTTAAACCGGTATATGCTCTCTGAACGTCCCCGCCATGCGTGTAAACAGTTAAAGCCATCACACTTTCCTTAATTCACCGTGTCTTGGCTGTTGTTTATGCATTGCACTGTTCATTTCTTATTGTATCTGCATTTTGAGTCTCCTCATTGTTTTTTAAAAAACACTGTATAGATAAACACACTCTTAGAGGGTTGAAACCACGTGGCAGAGCACTGCAGTGTGTTTCCAGCCCAACATGACCCACTTTCTCTATATCTGAACACCTGCACACCGATGCACTCTGGGTAAAAGGAAATGCTACAACAGTTTGAGGATGCGTGAATAGATAAGCAGAAAGCCACAGTAGCTGTTTTTTTTAACAGATGTAAAATAAAGTTATGCATGAATTAAAGAGCCCTTCAAAATAAACATCTTATAGGGGAATATATGAAAAGTATGAACATTTCCTTTAACTGCTCTGCCTTAAAATAGTGAGTGGTGGAGTGGTCTTGGGACATGCCTTAATTAATCGTCCCAATGCATTGATCACACAGAGCAATGGGGGCTAACAAATGTAGACATCAATGTCTTTGACTCATCTGTTCACATCCATCAAAAGTGTTCACATTCACCTGCTTTCTATTGCAGTGCATATGTAATTACGTTTGTTCAAGTGCTTGTACTCAGAATTATGGACAAGATAAGCTATAGCACAGAGGCCAGTGCAGAATGGAATCTTTTTTTAGGAGCTGAGAGTGACCCAGACACCACAAAACACAAGGGGAGAAACAGGAGGGAGGAGGGGGAGGAATATAAATGAGACTGGAGTAAAGGAAAAGTACTGGGCGGATGTGGCGGTGCAGATGCAGAATGCATGAGCGCACGTGAGTGGAATTGGGGGTGTGGGGGGAGCACGGGAAAGGAGAGCGGGTTCTGCAAAGCGGTGGGAGACAATGTGAAGTTAGAGGCGACTGAAGGTGAACAGAGGAGTGGGAACGTGCAGAGAACGGGTGCTGACGTCAGACACCATGGACCATGAGATACAACAAAAATCATAAAGGATATTGGAAGTGAAGATTCTAGAGAGACATTCTTTATAAGAAGAGAGATTGAGACAGAGAGCAGAGGAAAGGACGCTGATGCTAAAAATAAACTTGTAAATAACTCCCAGCCCTGAAAGCATGCCAAAGAGAAATGTTAAAGACTGAAGTCAGTTCAAGAAATACTGTCACTCAAGTTTTCTGTGCTTTAGTTTATATTTATGCTGAGATTATTATTCATGGCTGCTGCGTTCACTCTTTGGATGGAAATGAGAGTCTGTCCATTTAATCCTAATAGCCTATATTTGCAATGATTGAATTAATGGCCATCAGGGTTCGAATTGAGGATTATACTGACTTGATAACCCCTTGACTTCTCTCAGCATCTGAAGGACATCAATGTCTCCCTCAGGTTATGTCAAAATAACTTTGGGGATCTTGATGACATTCACATGAGCAGCTATTTTTGCGCTTGTCGCTAATAAGCGAATTATATGATGTAAATATAATTTTCTGACATTAGCTTTAGCATTAGCTTTAATTAAGGACCACTGTGCCCAAGTGCAGCCTCACAGAGCTAATAGCATGGCCATGAAAGAAAGTGTGTGATTTGTGATATTGGGCTATGAAAAAATAATTGACTAGACATCTGGTGCTGGGTATGCTGAATAAACAAGATCAGATCTCTGGGGTTTTACCAAATCTCAAACTCTGCAGATTATCACAGTAGGAGCAAAGTTAAAAACAACGTTTTTAAAAGTATATGTACAATAATTGCTGGTACGAGTAAAGAACATAAATAAAGTGAATGCAAAACAAAGCTGCTGCTCCTCAAACCCAGATGGGATTGTTCGGTCAAGTGCTAACTAGAGGGCAGCAGCATTGTGGTACCAACAGTCCCACAGGCCTGCAAATCTGCTGATGCAGTCTAAATAAAACCCTAGAAAATTATGCAAGTGTATCATTGAGTGACACCACGCTCACTTAGCAGATGCCCTGCAGCAGTCGAGGCTGTACTGTGTTAATCAAGAGCAATTGCTAGTTCTTCGTGGAGGAAGATTGTGACCTTAAATTCGCTTTATTAGCCACGTCGTCCATTTTCCTGTTAGAGACTTCTGGTCAGACAGTTTCTCCCAGGAGACGAGGTGAGAAAAAGGCTGTTGAGAGTAAAAGTGAGGTGAGAAACCTTTACAGATGATTAACTTTACACGTCTAATACACATCTGGTGAAATAGAGGAAACACAGTTTGAGGATGAATCAGCATAAAACAACCACGTATAGTATTTGGATTTACTGTAATAAAACTCCATCTGCTAACCACAGGATCGCGAAGAAGTCACAAAAAAACAATCACTTATCTAAGTTAAGGTGACTTGATTGTGAATGTTGAAAATGCATGTTGTTGCTAAAAGCATAAAGACATCTTAGGATAAAGGAATGCAGGAGGAAAGTGCGAGTCATTCATATGATGCTGAGGTTGCTGTGGCAACTGTTCCCAGCAGTCAGCTGGAAGAAGGTGTGTCAAAAGCGTCAGCAAGCGACAAGCAGCTGTAGAAATCAAAAACAGACCAGAACTACACTGTGGGCTTTAGTCTAACCTTGGACACAGTCTGAACAACATCATCACAAATGCAGGAAAATTAGCTTTAATTCAAAAGTATTGTGGACGTGGAATTCATGCTTGTTAAATAGGATTTTGGCTCACAAAGTTTAAAACCATACTTAATACCACATGTTTACTCCTCTATGTTCTTTATAATCCTTTACACTGAACCAATGATCCAAATGAAGAAAAACAGTAGGAGTTAAGCGGGGAAAACCATGTCTGATTAAGACGGCTAAGGAGGCAGACGTGTGGACAGAGGACGAAATAAATCCATAAAGGGTCAGGATGAAAAATGGCTCCTTGATGATATCTTCCTCCTTGATCTTGGTGGTATTAAAGAATATCCTGGTGGAGGGAGCATGATTTATGGTCCTCTGGCACTGTGTCTGCTGCGCCGTGTCGCATGTCCAGTGTTTATCACTAAAACGACCACCAAGTCCACAGTCTGATCAGGGAGATAAAGCTGTGAGATTATAAAGAGAATACATGTATATTCCCAAAGGAAATTAGTTTCTGGCCCAAGACAAAAACAGGATTTTATCTTAATGTAATTATTGTCCTGTAGAACACCATGTTTTAAAAAAAAGATATGAAAGTTCAATTGTGAAGTGATTCCCACTGCATTCATTTGTCAGTTACTTTTAAGACGAGTCTGCTGTATGATCAGTTTATGAAATATGATGAAAATAAAGATTGAACTGTCAAAATAAAGCAGCTAAAATAAGCCCCATCTTGGCCCACTATGTACAACATTAAAGTCCTTCTTACATGAGAAGGACTTGAATTGTTGCCTCACTAGCAACAATTAAGTAAATTATAACTCAACATAATTTGTTCAACACTTTTGAAATGTAAGTTAAATGAAGGGGGAATAACCAAAGCAACTGCATGCTTTTCTTTTGTTTCTAAGAGGCTTAGCAAATGCAAGGGTCTGAAATGAACAATAGGCCTCCCTGAAAACCTTATTGGTCACATATTATAAAGTAAGATGAATTAAATCCCCCTTACTCATGATTTATTCAGTGTGTATACAGTATATAATCATACAGTGATGGAGACTCAAGCATTTGTTAATGATGAACAACAGAAATGCATGATGGTGTGCATCCTGCATCAATTTATGAATCATCATGACCATTAGTTAAGTGATTTACCCTTATAAGTGTACAGGTGCATGTCTTATAGGTGTAAAGGTCTAAAAATAATGTGCTTTTCTTCAAGTCCTAATGTGTTTTGTTTTTCTCTTTCACTGCATAATTCATTCATTGTTCATATATTTATCATGAGTTTTATATATTTAGTTATTAATGCTCATTTATTGTTGAGCAGTATAAATGCTTGCTCCTCAGTTATTATACCAACAGTCTCATGTAGGTTACAACAAAACCTCAATACTGTGTGCGTTACCTTTAGCTGTGTTTTTTTCTGTATCCTGATTCCTGACAGGTCAGTGTTGAATGAATTTGTTATCAATTGGAATGACGACAGCTGCGTCAGACCATCACTTCCTCAGGTAGGAGTGGATAACCTTGACAAATCCCTTCTTTGTCTCTCAGCCTCCCACCTTCTCGTGCACAGATGCGATGGCCGGAAGTCTCACACGGCAATAGAGTGGCGGGTGATCATTTGTCATTGTTGGTAATGAGCGGCACTTTCTGCGTCACGGTGCGTCACGGTGCGTCCCGAGCTCTCCACCCTGCATGTTAATTGCGGGAAGAGCAGCATGTGATCCTCCGTCCTCCAGTCCCGCTCAGTCAGTGCCACACCGACTCACAAGTGCTGCCCGGCGGATGTATTCATGCCTACACACACATTTTCTAGCGTTAATGATAAACCCTGGATTTTGGTGATCGGTGCCAAAGACTGACGGTGAGAATTTATTTTTTCCTAACATCCATCCTCTGTGCATACATTTTTTCCTAGGTGTTATCACCTGTATTTAAAATGTGTAGACTGCTAATTGCTAAGGAAAGTTCACAAACAGCTTGAAAATTGTTTTAAAAGCTTTGTTTTGAGTCATGTGAAGTTAGTGTTCAATTCGCATTGTGTTTGAAATGAGTTCCAGCTTATACAGAGGTCATATAGATTGATCGTCTTTGACCTTGATTGGGCGTTTTAAAAGTCATTGCATCACTTTTGATGAGCTCTTAAATCTAAGAAAACACACCCTGAAATATCAGCATCAGCACCGTGTCACCTGGTGTCCTCCCAACAGTGATCTCTGCTAATGTTGATCAGTGAGGGCAGGTTTACACAGCCTGCAGCTGCTCTGTTCAGCTGCATTTTACATTAAAATAGGTTTGTATGGGAAACAAGTTCAAATCAATGTCCTAATGTTTTCATTTGACACTGGTCCAGGTCATTTAGTTATTTAGAGGTCTGAGATATTATGGGCTGTTGCCAGTAAAGTATCACTAGTTAGTTGTTATAGGCTTCAGGCATTAAGTACTCCCGTGTAAAAAAATGATTGTACACTAACTGTGGTTCAGGAGGCTGGAAGTCGGCCAATAATCGATTAACGAACAAGTCTGGACGTTTAAACAGGACTGATTATTAAGCCAATCCATACATGTCATTTGTTAGACGCTTTTATCCAAAGCAACTTACATACATTCGGTACTGTGGACAATCCCCAGAGGAGCAATTTGGGGTGAAGTGTCTTGCCCAGGGACACAAGGACATGCAGTGGGACTCGAACTTGCTATCCCCTGATTTGAAGTCAACCACTGAGCCACAGCCATACCTGCAGAATCAGCTGTTTTTCATCAAGCTTAACATCCTGTGTTTCTGGAAGTGTCGTGAAACCTCATTCTAATCGATTAAAAATAAAACTGTAATTGATATTTGAGAGCTTGTGTTGAACTTGTGGTCTAGTTGGTCAAAAGTACTGAACTGTGAACTAGGTTTCCTATTAAAACACTCTTGTGTGGCAATAACAATAGCCCCTAAGAATTATTTGTTGTCATTCAGTTGTGTTGCTTTCAATACACTCTGACCGGAGACTTTTGATTACTATGACTTGGTTAAAAGCTGAGGCGATTAGTCAATCGATTAGTGGATTGACAGAGAGTTCCTTGTTATGATCGATTGATAATTTCAATGATTTTTCAAGTTAAAAAAAACAAAGATTCGCTGCTTTTCTTTGTTACATGTGACAGGATGGGGTTTTGGATTGTTGGGACCAAAAACACAATTTGAAGACAAACTTTAAGGATATGTAACATCATATTTTACTTTTTTTCTGACATTTTATTTATGAATCGAGAAAATCATTTTCAGATTTATTGATAATGGAAAAAGTTGTGTTTCCTCTCCAGTAATTTACAAGATTGTGAGGTAATAACAGAAGACAGCTGCATACATGAAGAACTGATAACCTGTACACTACAGCATATATTATTTCCTAAGTCAAACTCCAATAACTGTTCATTGCACTCTCTGCTGTTATTATGACATTTGTTCAGTAGGCTTATAAGCTTATGTAATTTATAAGAAGGGAAGTAATGCATTTGGAGGTTAAAAACTATGCTGGAAAAAACATAAATATAGAGAGATGAGGCAGATAATTAAGTAGGTCATTTAATCAAAGGTAATATTGTTTTTCAGTGTTTATCTCTGTACCGAAAATGTAGATCTTTCACAATGAGAAATATGTGATCTAAAGCGGAGAAAATATTGCAAACATACGCAAACATTTGTCTTTCCTGCAAAGAATACCACTGCTCTTCAACACTGCCAGACCTTCAGTATCAGCTGAGGTTATCAGAACTGTGTGTTGATGGGTTTTTTCCAGCAGGATTACTCGCCGGGTGTTTTCGTTTCTCAGCGTTGGCTGGATGATGCAGCCTCTGATTGATATTACGTGTCTTGTATGATGTAGGATGGGATTGAATGATGAGACAGAAAGACAGCCGTGGGGGCTTTACAGTTAATGCACACAGGATTATGAAGACTTGTGAATGACCATGGATTATTGCATCACAGGCTCATCTTGACATGCAGAGAGGAGGAAATCTGTTTGGGATGAAAAATATATAAACAAGGACAGGAAATGCACATTCTGAGCACGATTTCTGAAACGATTGGGGCATTGGGACTGACAGGAACTCTGACAGTGGTTCTGTTGAGTTTGTTTACATTATGGAGAATCTGAAAAGATAGTTAAAGAGTTCGTTTTAGCTCAATATCAAAGGTGCGTGTTGTGACTACAAGGGATTGTGCGCAACACTAACATTTTACCACTCTCAAGGAGCAGCCTCTTTATTCAGTTTTGTGATTTATGATCAGTCACTATATAGAGAATCATACATTGTGAGGTAGTCGGTGGTTTGTTTCACTTATCTTTGCCTCTGCATGTGAAACAGTGTTCACATACCCTAAGCTTTGCAGTTTTGCATGTCAGTGGACGGCAGATGTTTATAATGGAGAAATTACTTACTCAATAAGTAATGAGAGCCTGCACAGGGGCTCGTGCTGTGGATCAAGAGAACACATGACAGCACTTCATCCAAAGCATCATGTTCACTTCCTCCATTGCGTTTGGGTTGAACCAACCACTCCCAGAGAGAGGGGTGAGGCTGGATGTCGCAGCATGGCTTCAGAGGATTAGGGGATTTAAAGGGGGAAAAAAGCTTCATTAAAGTTAAGCTTTGCAGAACAGGGAAATGAAATAGAACAATTTGCAGGATTTGGAATATTTCTGGAACCAAAAACATTGCGTGAGAGACAAAGAGTTGTGGTGGGAAAATGACGGTTCAAGTCCCTGCTGAGTTTTTGCTGAAAGATTTGTGTTAGGTTAACTCTCAGGTTTGACTGATGGTCTCCTGTCTTACTGTTGACATCCTTCATAGCTCTGGAGAGGCATAACATGTGTTACAATCCTGTGTCCTCTTACAAGCCTAACCAAGCACATAATAGAAAAATAATTGTGTCAGCAACTGTGTGAAGTTATTTATGGATCCCAGCCAGAAAAATGAAGCTTAAATGTACTATACATTCAATGGGCCATGCAAGGGCCAACACCTGACCTTGTTTATTTAAAATGGAGGATTTTTTGTATCCAATTATAGAAGATTATTGATTGAAATTGTCATAACCATAATGTCCTTGAAACATCATTTTCAATTTTCTGTGTTTTCTGATGCAGGCCCAGAGCATAATATCCGGCTGTCGCTCCTCAGCATCTCCCTTAGAGCTACATCCCTCCACCTCTTCTCCACTCTCTGTCTGCATCACCTCTTTCTGTTCCCACAAGGCTGTTTTCGCTCTCTCTTTCTCTCTCCACCCCCACCCCCCTCCCGACCCTCAGCCTCCCTGATGCCGAAGAACAGCAAGGTGACGCAGCACGAGCAGACCAATGATCACGTCACAGAGTCGGTGGCTGACCTGCTCGCACATGAGGAGCCGTTTGACTGCAAGAACAGCTCCCTGAACGTCGGAGAGGCCCCCGGCAAAAAGGTCCCACAGATAGAGGTGCCTGAAAACGATGGACGCCCCACCTGGAACAGCAAACTGCAGTACATCCTGGCACAGGTGGGCTTCTCTGTGGGCCTGGGGAACGTGTGGCGCTTCCCTTACCTGTGCCAGAAGAATGGAGGAGGTGAGTGTTGACAAGCACAGCAAACCAGACACAAAGCACATTACCTGTCAATGTACTTAAGTGACATTTAATTCACAGTTCCTTGCTTGTCTCCAACCGAGGGACACTGAGAATAATTACAAACAATGCTGTGAAATATGATTCTGCTATAAATACTTATGGCTTCTCAATTTCCCTCTAGTACCATCATTGGGTCAATGTTTTTATTCGTGCAATACTTTGTGCTTATAAGGAAATGTTAGTACAATAAATTAAGGTGGTAAACATGTATTCCTGTTAAACAACAGCATGTAGCTTTATTTACCACATTCAACACAGCTGTAGATCAAGCTAGCAGGAGAAGTAAAAAGTTACAAGCAGGCTTTTAAAATAACTAGCAGCCTTTGACACAAGGGCTGAGCAAGAATTCAATACAGTGTTATCTTTTTTATACACTTTGTGTATCGGTACTCAAACTGATTCCCAAATCAAGTCCCTATACAGACTAAGCCACTGCTACCAAAAACGAATGCTTTAACATCCTTTCTAAATTAGTTGGTCAACTTCGACTGAACATCTAACAAAATGACATATATAAAATCAACATAGAGACATAAGGGAATCATATGGGGTAACTATTTGTATTAATAATGTGATATTTTAACAATGCATGATTTGTTGTTGAAATCTTTCAAACATGATTTCTGGCATTTGAACATCTGCTCAGCTTTTTGTTTAGCTGTTCACCTCTCAGTTTCCCCCAATGAGAAAACATGGAGGCTGATTCAGGCCAGAAGAGCCAGCAGAGCAGCTGTGTTGTGCAGAAACCGGCCAAGTCTAAATGTAGCTGCACTATTGATTACTACTGTCGGCAGAGCAGGCCAGTCCACTGATACTCTGGTAAACAAAAAAGGGCTCGATAAAAAATGTAACTGTATCATGATAAGGGTTTATTTTGGTATGGGTCGCATGTAATCGGAGGTGTACAACGTGTAAACTATACTAGAGGAAGATCATAGTGTCATCATGATAGACATGCTGCTCACATAGCTCCATTAATGCTGTTGTGTTAGCTGCTCTCTGTGTCTGATGTACTGCATATAGGCAGGATGTAGGCTATTGCTTATAGAGAAGATAAACTCATAGTACACTACCAGACCAGACAGGTCATGTGACTGACAGGCGGCCATTTTTCACTCAGTAATTGTCTGCCTGGCAGCCAATTACTGACACATTAAAGGTGTGTGTTGTTTGGGAGTTATCGCTGTGTGTGCTTCTCTCTCATGTGTGGTATTTCTCTTCCTTGCCATGCATTTTTCTTTTCACTTTAATGTCCTCTATCATTTCTCCCTCCATTGTCTCATATTTATGCTGGTGCTTCTGTCGAATATATCACATCTATCTCACGCTCCAGTTATAACCTGTGATGGAGTGGATTTGCAAATCCTGGCAAAGGCCCAGATAGCCTCTCTATATTTAACTTTTCTATTTCATACTCTATTACAGCTGTCTTTATTGAGCCTTTTCACCCACTTTCTTCTCTCTCTGCCTCATTACTCCACCCATTATTGAATGTGTTCACCGCTGTATGTAATGTCTTACTTTTGGTGTATTAATAGTACGTGAATACACTGAATGCTGAATGCTGATGAAGTGAAACTGATGCTGATTTTTTAAACTGCTGTTCAAATGCCACTGATAATAATAAAACAACATTTGTAATGTATCAACATTGTTAAAGGACGTTCAAAATGGTGCTTACTAATTTTTGCGGTCATTTATTTGGAAACTCTAATATGTTGTATTGAATATTGAATTTAAACGTTTATAATACTTGTGCTCCGCTGCATGTTAATGAGAAAAAAGCATCTGTAACAAAGCATTGACTACAGCCTCAAAACACATGATTTACTGTTACAAACTAATAAGAAATGAGCTGGTCTCAAATAAAGCTGAAGCTGACAATGTGCAGCTATTAGCTCAAAAAGCCTCTTTCTTTTCAGGTGCCTATCTGGTTCCCTACTTCATCCTCCTCCTCATCATCGGCATCCCACTCTTCTTCTTGGAGCTGGCTGTGGGACAGAAGATCCGACGTGGGAGCATCGGGGTCTGGAACTACGTCTGTCCCAGTCTGGGCGGGATAGGGATGTCCAGTCTGATGGTGAGGGGGGGAGACATTCGTTTTTATTTTCAGAACATACCTGATAGCACGTACTTAATGTACGTGATAAGAATCAGGGAGGTTATAACAGGGGAACAAAGCATGCAGATAAAACAAAGGAAACATTTAATTTGATTCCTTTTAGATGAAATGTGATTTTGTGTGTCATATGCATGTTCATATCATAAATAAATCATTAAATAAATATGGCCATAAGCAGGATAATGTTGCAATTACATCTGTAGTCACCGCCACATTCACACTGCCTCAGGCTCTCTTGGGTTTATGGGAGGTATTGATGTGTTTGAGACTGAAAGGTAGCCTTTCTTTGGAGTTGCGTGGTTGGTGCAGAAGTAGCTATAAATATCTCGAGGAAGATCAGTGTTGAAAAGAGAGTGCTTTAATTATTCATGCTTTCCTCAACCTTATTTAGCTGGTGAATGTCCTGGCTGGCATGACTGCTCAGAAGACTGACAGCAACATGGGACACGCACCAAGCATCCAAGCTCATTTGCATACGTTTTCTCATGTTGTACAGTGTGGTGGGTGTGGGAAATTTGACATTAGAATTTGACAAATTCCTATTATTTGTCTTTCTTTCTATCTATCCATCTATCCATCCATCTATCTATCCATCTATCCATCTATCTATCCATCTATCTATCCATCTATCTATCCATCTATCTATCCATCTATCTATCTGCAGGTGTGTGGCTTCGTAGGTCTCTACTATAATGTGATCATCGGCTGGAGCATCTTCTATTTCTTCCAGTCTTTCCAGTATCCTCTTCCGTGGAGCGAGTGTCCAATCAGAAGGAATGGGTCACTTGCCAGTAAGTCAAATAATAAATACAAAAAAATGAATGTGTAGGTAATTACAAATAAGGGTTTGACTGTATTTGCATAGTGCCACTACATTTATCTGTAGGCTATTTTTATTATATGTACAGCACTTTGGCTCGACCAAAAATCGCTTATAAATGTGCTATATAAATAAAACTTGATTTGATTTGATTTAGAACAATAAATACACATACAAAGATCAAATTAAAATGAAATGCTCATCTCAGCACACTTATATGCTCACAATGACAATGCAAACATGTTGATGTTCAGTAATTGTAATGCTTACTATGGCCACCATTTTAGTGTAGTGCAGCTAAGTGCAGCTAAGCTTAATAATACCAGAAGGATTCTGAAGGAGGGGCACATTTCAGCACAAGCTGAACGCAGCCTCGATCTTAAGATGACTACTGAGTTTACTGTTCATTGAAATAATGAATACTTTCTGGTTGTTGGTCATTAGTTGGCCAGCTTCTGTTTTGTATTAAATCAATACATTAAGTGAAATCAATTACATTAGAAGAATGTTTTCAATTTAAGAGTGCTTACAATTTCAGGATTATGTAATATCTGGAAGAATGTCCATTTGTGTCATTGTTATGGTTAATCTGTTTAAAAGTATCTCACAATAATTCCTCAATGGGCCACTATGCTGAAAGCTTTAGGATTACATTAATAGCCTCGATCTATCGACACACCTACAGAAAGCAGACCAGACAAATTGTGTGAACTTCCTCACAACTTCCCAGACATAATCTCGATTAAAACCCTCTGCAGTTCATTTGATCAGAGCCGATAATAACAAAACCCTGGGGCAGCCGAGAAACACTCAGCGTGAGTGTGACTGAGCGTGAGTGTGACTCAGCGTGAGTGTGACTCAGCATGAGTGTGACTCAGCGACTCGGCTGGCAGGAAGACGGGAGCAGAGACTCAGACTGAAGGATGCTGAAGGACAGAGTGTAATGCATTTCACTCTATGTGTGCTGCTCATATATCCAGACAACACATCATGATGGAACCAGACAGTAATTCATTTAGCAGAGGCCATCGTGATTACATCAGATTTAGATTGTCATCCATCTATTAAGATGTGTCTATGTATTGATGAATCACCCAGCAATGTTATGTGGAGAATGCAACACTTCTCACTCTAAACTCAAATAAAGTATAATTATAAGCCTATTTCCCCAAGGTAACAAGATATACTGTGTGTGTAATGTAAAAAAATAGGAGTTTTGAATTGGGGTTTCATGCTTTGCATACTAAGCACACAGATGACCTTGTTTAGCTCACTTTACGTCTGAGAGGTGTAAACAAGCCGGGGATTGAGATATTGACCCTGAGCAAACACTCATTATATTTCTCCTTTTGCCCTCACCATGACATTGAAACCTCCCAGCTGCATCTTCACAACCATTCCTCTAAATCTCAATCTCCTTCTGTCTGCAAAACATACAGTTGTGGAGCCAGAGTGTGAAAAAAGCTCGGCCACAACCTACTTCTGGTACCGTCAGACTCTGAACACCACCAGCACCATCGCAGATAGCGGCGGCCTCAACGTTAAAATGACCCTGTCTCTGCTGGTGGCCTGGATCATCGTCTGCCTCGCCGTCATCAAAGGCATCGCCTCCTCAGGGAAGGTAGTGGAGAGGAAGAGACACGAATGCATGATCTGATGAGAAAAAAATGTCAGTTTCCTGAATGTATATTTTTTCATTTTCACAGGTGATGTACTTCAGCTCTCTGTTCCCCTACCTGGTGCTGTTCTGTTTCCTGATCAGAGGTTTAATGCTGAAGGGATCAGTGGATGGCATTGCTCACATGTTCACTCCCAAGGTGAGACTTTCTTCCTCACAGTATTCTTAATCAGCCATGTTGAAATTCTCCTCGATCTGATTTTCTCTGTCCATCTCTCACAGTTGGAGAAGATGCTGGAGCCCAAGGTGTGGAGAGAGGCAGCCACCCAGGTGTTCTTTGCCCTGGGTCTGGGGTTCGGAGGGGTCATAGCCTTCTCCAGCTACAACAAGATCGATAACAACTGTCATTTTGATGCTGTGCTCGTCTCTTTCATTAACTTCTTCACCTCCATTCTGGCCACGCTGGTAGTGTTCGCCGTGCTCGGCTTCAAGGCAAACATCATGAATGAAAAGTGCATCGCAGAGTAAGTTCATATCTGCAGAAGCTTTTATCCTTAAGCACCATTCATACCGTATGTTTGGTGTGTCTATAATTGTTTTGGTTATGTTTATTTAAGTACTGTAGATGCATCAACAAATGTAGCATCTTCACAGTAATATATACATGTTGTGCAATGATAAGGCTACCTATAATCCAATTTTCATTTAAATAATTTTACTAGTAAAGTTTCAGCAGACTGTATCATCAGTTCATACACTTCCTTTTCCCTTTTCTGGTGACAATTCAAAGAAAATACTTCCTACATGAAACTGCTCACAACAAGGTCTGTGAATTATCTTGAGTAACCAGGTCATCATTTCTGGTAAGAAGCATATCGGAAAAGTTTCTAATGTATTTCCATGATCATTAAAGCATTTTGCAACTAACAACTAAAGGTACAAAATAGCCCTAGCACTGCTGTTAGATATGCTCTTTGAAATACTCAGTTTTATGGCTACTTAATTGTTTATGTTTTATCTCTGTAGGAACACAGAGAAGATCCTGGGATACCTTAACTCTAGCGTCCTGAGCTACGATCTCATCCCTCCACACTTAAACTTCTCCCAACTCAGCACATCAGACTACGCTGAGGTATACAGGGTCATCAAGACGGTGAAGGAGGACGGCTTCGCCCAGCTGGGTCTGGATCCTTGTTTGCTGGAGGACGAGCTCAACAAGGCGAGTCTTTGGCATGTTCTTCAGTGTGCCTCTTACACAACGTAGTTCTCCTACTTATGCCTCTCTCTCTCTCTGCAGTCCGTCCAGGGCACCGGTTTGGCCTTCATCGCCTTCACAGAGGCCATGACTCACTTCCCATGGTCTCCGTTCTGGTCGGTCATGTTTTTCTTCATGCTCATCAACCTCGGCCTGGGCAGCATGATCGGCACCATGACGGGCATCACCACACCTGTCCTCGACACCTACAAGGTCAATAGGGAGCTTTTCACAGGTAAGCTCACTCCCACCTCTCCCCCCTCTCCCACCTGCCCCCACTGGACTATAACTCCCCCACACACTCAAATCCAGCACCAGACACTTTTTACGCTGCTATGGACAATATTGCAATAATGCACATTCGATGGACAATCTGCACTAATGTACATTCTCAAAATATTGAAGTGACTGTTATTTTGTATATATTGATTGTTGTGTCTTTATTTAGGTCTAAATGTGTGCACATGTAAAAATGTGTCTTTGACTACATATTTGCACACATCTTTTATTTTCATATTTGTATATTCTATATACATTTGTTTTTATATTCGGGATTGTGGGAAACAGTATTTCGATCTCTCTGTCTGTACACACAAACTGGAAGCTTGCCAATAAAGTTGACTTTGACTGAAAGCTAACAGACACAATATGCTATTAGGAGTTTACACAGGCTTACTCAGCAACGCATTGAAACACATTTAGGCTGCATTAGTCTTACTCTGAGTGTACTGTATGCAACACAACTGAAAAGAAAACCATTTATTTTTCCATTTATCTTACCAAAGTCTCCTTGTCTCCTCTGAAGGCGTGCTCATTTTGTTTCTTCTCTGGGTTTGTTTCAGTGTGTTGCTGCGTTGTGGCCTTCTTCTGTGGCCTGCTGTTCGTCCAACGCTCAGGGAACTACTATGTCACCATGTTTGATGACTACTCTGCTGGACTACCTCTCACAGTGGTGGTCATCCTGGAGAATGTGTCTGTAGCTTGGATTTATGGCACAAAAAGGTACAACCAGCTGTGGTTTTAGTTACACTCAATAAGTGCTTAATAGTGTAAAGGAGCTTGTTCATACCCGTAATGCGTTTCCTGTTTCTTTTCCGCCAGGTTCATGCAGGATCTGGAGGACATGTTGGGTTTCCGACCATGTATAATCTATTTCTATCTGTGGAAGTACGTCTCCCCGATCTGTCTCATCTTGCTCATCTCAGCCACCGTCATCGAGATGGCCATCATCCCCCCAGGATACAACGCCTGGGTCCAAGAGCTGGTGTGTGTGTGTGTGTGGTGTGTGTGTGTGTGTGTGGTGTGTGTGTGTGTGTGTGTGTGTGTGTGTGTGTGTGTGTGTGTGTGTGTGTGTGTGTGTGTGTGTGTGTGTGTGTGTGTGTGTGTGTGTGTGTGTGTGTGTGTGTGTGTGTGTGTGTGTGTGTGGTGTGTGTGTGAGTGAGTGAGTGAGTGAGTGAGTGAGTGAGTGAGTGAGTGAGTGAGTGAGTGAGTGAGTGAGTGAGTGAGTGAGTGAGTGAGTGAGTGAGTGAGTGAGTGAGTGAGTGAGTGAGTGAGTGAGTGAGTGAGCATGTGCTTTCTAGCTGCCTTCCATTATTTATTTATTATACCATTTTGTATATGTTCCTGGTAAATGTGATAAGGGCACATAAAAACATGACTTCATGGTGGTGCTAAAGGATAAGTATGGGAATAACCAACGTTAGCCAGATTCATCCTCTGGGAAGCATGAATGTCTTTAGAGAATGTAATGACATCAAGGCAAGGCAAGTTTATTTATATAGCACTTTTCTATACGCGACAATTCAAAGTGCTTTACAAAACAAATGAAAATACTTTTTAGGAATAAATACATAAAAAACACATTATACAATTTTACAACAAACATTACAAAGCGAAGATAAATAATAAAAATAAACACCACAGGTATACAATACATGTTTAAAAGGCATACTGTAGTTCGAATATGAGCATCTCAATTAAAAGCAGCGGCAAAGAGATATGTTTTTAGTCTCGATTTAAAAATAGTAAGCGTTTCTGCAGACGTGCATGATTTGGGTAGTTTGTTCCAGAGTGTCGGGGCATAACAGCTAAATGCTGCCTCTCCATGTTTTGTTTTTACTCTCGGAACCGATAGCAGACCCGTCCCAGAAGACCTGAGGCACCTTGATGGCTCGTAATTATGCAGGAGTTCAACAATATACTTTGGTCCTAAATCATGTAATGATTTAAAAACTAGCAATAGTACTTTAAAATCAATTATTTGGCCGACTGGAAGCCAGTCATCAAGGTATTAGTTATTGAAATACTTCAGTCTGAATAAAAGCTGACAAACCAAAAAGAAACTCATTGCACTCTATTACCGACAAAACCACATGCTCATCTCTAAAAGTGTGTTCTCAAAGGCAAAGATTGTAATCCGTGTGCTCTTCTAGTCACTCATCCCTCTGTTTGTGTATGCAGGCTGAGGAACGCTTCCAGAGCTATCCTCCCTGGGCTCTGACCATGTGCTTCTCTCTCATCGTCGTGGCCATGCTGCCGCTCCCTATTGTCTTCATCGCCAGACGCTTCAACCTCATGTCAGACGGCTCCAACAAACTGTCTGTCTCCTACCGTAAAAGCATGATGAAGGACATCTCCAACCTGGAGGAGCAGGACGAGTCCAGGTTTATTCTTGGTGCCAAACCGGGCGAGGCGCCACCTACAGCTCCGGCAGGCCGGCCCTACCTGACCCCAGCAGGGAACAAAACCCTAGACCCCAACTTGCTGTCTCCAAACATCTGCTACGGTACGAGCTACCAGAACCCAGCCGTCAGCCCCACCACACCGACTACTCCGATCACACCCGCCACGCCAGAGTCTGACTCTTGACTCGTCTGACGCCCAGTCCTCGCACAGTTTACCCTCCAGCCATAAAGTCTCCATGGGGGTCACTGCCAAGCATCCCCACCACTGCCCTACTGACGCCATAAAACTGTATGTAGCCGCCCAATTCATCTGAACACATGCTTCCCAAATAACACCGAGATCAACCTGCAGCAGGAGAAAAAAAAACAACTCTTGCCAGTAGATCACACACTGAAATCAAGCTGTGCTTAAGAAAAGGTTCTGAGATCTGCTTTTCTTTGCCTTAGTATAAGGATCCTCAGCAGTCAAAGCCCCCCCCCACAACACACACACACATACACACAGTTTAACGTACATCCCTGTTTGCACAGCGCAGGGACCTGTAAGAATGAATGTAGTGGAGCCGGTTTGGTCCTGCTGCTTTGCACTGGCAAAGAGAGCAAAGATTATTGTGAGTTTAATTATTTTGAGGTTTAAAGCCTCTCTTGGTCATACTGTGTGTCTAAGCCACTCAGTCGAAGAGTTAGGAAAGTTATTTTCTATGAAATCTTATGCAGAGATCCCAGTGAGTACATACTGTGGGCTGGGCAATGTCGAGAAACAAAAAAATTGACCAAATAGCTTGATTTTGCAATATTGTAGGTCTAGGTTAGGGTTAGGGTAATTATGTTATATAAAATGACTGCTACAACACACAAATACATCACTTCCCTTTAGGGTGACCAGATGTCCCATATTTGATTGGCAATGTTTTCAAAAGTTAAACCACTTCAGGACAGATGCTTTCCTAAAATTGGGCTTTCATCCAGTGTCTGTGAAGAAAGCAAGGAAAGCCATTATCATTTGATGTCAATCAAACTGCGTACATGTCAAGTGCAAAAAAAGATTGCACATTTCAAGACATCATTTAGTCGAATACCACCATATCGATATAACATATTGCCCAGCCCTAACAGTGTGGCTACACACTGTTCTGATGTAGCTTGAAAACCCTTCTCTTGTTGGTCTGTTTTCGCAGGGCTCTATGTTTAAGGCTGCTATAAAGATATCTATGTATGTTTCATTCCCATTCCCTTCTGTTTTTTGTGTGTAGCCAGTATTGTTCATTCTGTAAACAGTGGTATGCAGTAGAGTAATATGATATGGATAATAATGATGTCCCATTGTCCGTAACACATACACGATAAATTGTGAAAGTCACTCATTTCAGTTTCTCCACCAAAGAGTTACAATTAAAAAACAAAACACTTGAAATATAATTCATGTAACAGAATAACAGAAAGGAAATGCTGAAGTGAGGTGTGCTGAAAGTACAACAGAGACCTGGTTTTAAACTCATGATACTTGAACATATTCTGCAGTGACAGAAAGCACAGTTTGTTGATGTGAATTTGATACAAATGTTAATCCCTCGCTGATGCAGTTCTGACATTCTTGCTTCAAAAGCACAAAAAAGATTTACACTTACACAAGTAAATTAATAACACTAATCGTTGACGTATTATTTGAACGATTAATGCACACTTAAAATTAAAACAATAGCTGCCGTTGAATGTGTACCATACAATGAGAAGCAATATATATTTCTGTTGGAGCACAAACTGAGGTCAATATGGACCGAAAACACAATGAAAAGGACAGAAAAATCAGGAATGGACCGAAAATGTTAAAGAAAGTCAAATCAAAATAATGGAATATTAAACACAAACTTAGTATTAACCTATGTAATCTAGGACCTGATATGCACAAGTCAAAACACACATATGCTCAAATGCACAAGTTTTCTGTATATTTGTGGAAAAATAAAGCTTGTGAAGTGTCATTGAAACAGATAGATATTTCCGTGTGATGAAGATCTAAGACACTGAACCCATGCACACTGGTACTGAATAGACCTGAGCACATTCTCTTTCCTGTTACATGGAAGAGGATATACCTTTATTTATTTTGTTATCACAATATTCAAAGCCATGGCGCAAGGAATTAAATGGACTATATTTATATTACTGTAAATTTGCATTGTGTGTAGGTGTGACGAACAACAAAGATTTATCTTTTAAAAGTGACCAGTATATATGTATATATAAATATAATGTATATTTTGTCTTCTTCTTTTATGATGCTTATTTCAATTGTATATGTAAAGACATATCTATTGTAGTTTTTGTAGCTACTCCTTGTTGTGGGGTTTTAAAAGCGGCTGGGAGGTGGAGGTGATGTCAGGTTTAGTGTAAACAGCAGCTGGATCTCTGTTGTGTTCGTCTGGCTCCACCTGCTGTCAGCTGACGTCCACTCCCCGGTCCCCACTTTATAGAGTCACTGCTCTGCTTGTTTTGAGCCACACTAGCATCAGCTGTCTTGGGGTTGTCCTTGACTAAAAATCTTTGTTTTCAGCTTGAAGAAAAGCCACAAAAGAATTCTAGGCTTAATCGACTAAAACAATCTGAAACGACTACCACCAAAATGACAATTAGTAAACAAATCTACTTTCCACAGCAGCTTATAGCCGGTCTTTTCTCTTTTACAACACATCAAGTTCATTACTGGATATCTCTCAAAAGAAATCCAGTCCGTCTCTTAAACTTTGTATGCAATAACATGGCCTCCAAAATACAATTAAAACAACTTTTAATAATATATATTATCATAGATTGGTCACTTTATTCACTTCGAAGAGCAGCACTGTCTTACAGGACTGATATTGTGGTTCTAAACATCCCGTTTTCTTTCCTGTTTTGTCTTAGTCTGTGTGATTCAGCCACTGCTGCGTGCGTCATATAGAGATCCCTCTGTTGTTCAAGTCAGTAAATAAAATTATAACCAAAAGATTCTGATGATAGATTTTACCCATGTGAATTATATATATATATATATATATATGTCTTAATAGGTAACTGTTTTAGCAATAAATGCAACATAAAGTAATGATGAATGTGATTAATGCACTTTTTTCACTAGGACTGCAAAAAAGTTTGTGAAATTTGTTTTGTTGTCCTCGTAGTGTAAAAGCAATATCCAGATATTAAAATGGAGAATAATTTAAGATTGACACATCGTGTGAGTTAGCGATGATTAGGAACTGCCCTCTTACAGCCAAAGGGAAGTTAACTCTTCCTTACAAGAGCTGGTGTGTGTGTGTGTGTGTGTGTGTGTGTGTGTGTTTCCTTCTTCTTACCTGTGTGTGCAGGGCCTTATTGAGCACATGTTTTAAGCACTGTCTGTACAGGAGAAACCTTATAGATGTCCCTTGACAGCTCCTCTCTCCCTTTCCTCAGTCATATAATGATTGTATGATACTGACAACTATTGTAAAAAGAAAAAAATGTGAACATCACCAACAATATGAATAAATAAAGAGTGGACAAGATGCTTTTGTATTTCTGTTTTTTTTTCAGTTTGAAGTCAAAATTGTCATGGTGAAAGTTACATTTTCATTGGGAATGTTTATCTTCTGTTTCTTATTGAAAAAGATACAGAACTAAATACAGACAGATATTAATAAGTAACCCATTTCATTCTATACATATTGTATAGCTACTGGCAGTTTTCAGAATACAAACAGCTGCACACAAAGCTTTTGTGTTATGGTTTTACTGGTGTTGATATATACAAAATAATTATAGTAATATAAAAGACAATAGGTAGACTATTACATGAAAATAATATCAAATAAATCATAATTACATTTTGGCACAAAGTTTGAGCCAAATTTGAAGAAATGCCCTCATGATGTTCTCGTGATTTCATGTATGCGAGAAGGCTAAGGACAAGCAGAGGCATACAAAGCACAATAAGACTTTGATGAAGATGGTAATGTTGGTTCCTCTTTGCACCAAAGTTCTGTTCGGTCCAGTGAACACAAATATGTAATTGGGTCAACCCAACAGCCTGCACAGTGGGCTTAAATGTATATACTGTTTCATTAAGACTCTTTTTAGGCTACTTTATATTGTAAAACCCCTACAAGAAAACCAAAAATCTTCAGAAAACAATCAAAAGAAGACCGAAGTAAAAGAGATATTCCCATTTAAAAAAACATAGCAGGATTGTCAGAGAGGCGGCCATCTTTAAGTATACTGTGGCCATTGCGGAGAGCTGTGAGTGCTGCAGCTAACTATCTCAACCTGTTTCTATGGTCCCTCTCAGGTAGATCACAGATCCTGATGCAACATCCCTTTTCGAGCCAGAAGCCCGGATACAGAGGCTCTGTGAACGTAGCCTGCAGCTTGTAAAGAAACTTCATACTGTCCGACCCCGACACCTCGTAGAAAGCAAGAGTTCCCTCTTTAAACTTCAGATAAACGCCGATCCGGCTGTGAGTCGGTGATGATGTGAGCTGAACGCTGTCAGCTCTGTGGCTCACCGAGTAATTAGAGGAGCGATCAAGACTCCAGGAAAATTCATTTGCCCCAAAAGCTGACAGACGGGTTCGAGTCTTTCTGTTCATCCTCCTGTAGGCGAGAGCGATCTCAGCCTTGTCTCCTTCCACCTCGACCTCATAGTAGCAGCGGTCGGCATGCAGCCCCTCCTTGCACAGCACCTGCATGCGGTGGAAGAACCTGTCCGGGGAACGAAGACCAAAGTCGTTCATCTTCGGAGAGTTCAGCCTCACCTCGGTGTCTCCTGCAGCGAAGGTCAGGTCCTCATGAGCTGTGGTGCGATCCAGGCTGAGTCTACAAGCATCTGAGATGATGATGGGAAACATGTAAAGGAAAAGTTAGGGTTAGGGTAAAAAAAAAAAAGTTCCACCCACTAAGGTTAAGGTACAGAAGTATTAGAAAAATGTAAACTACAAACACTACAGTAAAGTACTTTTCTACTGTTTTTGTTACTTTCCACATCTGTCTTGGTGCAAGGTTAAGATATGTGGACCAAATGGCTGAATATTGGGCTGTGAGTTTAGAAAAGATGCACTCACACTGCAGGAAGTCAGCTCTGGTTTCGGGCTCCTCCATGTTCTGCTCAGTGTTGGTAACTCCAGAGACACCTATGAGAATATTTCAGAGCAGTTTTGAGACATTCCTCTATGATATTTTCACTGCAAAACAATACAGTGGAAGGGGGTTTCATTTGTAATGCTTACAACATTTAAAATATAATATTAAAATTCAGACTTTTGAAATGTCAACAGCTGGATCTTTGTCAGGAGAAAAAATATGTATATTTTCAATAATACTTTGGTCCACTGACTCACCTCCTGATTGCTGCTGCTCTTCACCACCAGCTGTTGAGGTAATATGGAATTAAAGCCAATCTTAACTTTATACATATTGTATTCAAATGGACTGATGTTAAAATACAGACCAGTATGAAGGATTGAGGCAAATTCTTTGTCACAGATATCCTGCAGCTGCTCCCCGAGCTGTTCCACGGCTCTCTTTGTAAACTCGAAGGGCAGAAGTGGATCCTCTGAAACCTCCTGAAGAGGATAAAGAAGATCCGTGTCGGTAAGACACCGCAGGGAGAACCATTTCTGTGAAGAGACAAAGAAATACAGCATCATCTTTTATACAGATTCAGGTGATGTTTCTCCAGTAGTCCTGTGATCACTATACCTGCAAGAAATGGACATCGTTGTCAGTCTCAGCGAGTCGATGGAGCTCAACGTCTCTCTCGTTCAGTTCCTCCAGCGTCTGTAAGGAACTCTGAGCCTGAGCCTCCTGACCTCTGATCAGCTCCCTCACCAACATGTAATGTCTCTGGAGGCAGTCAATGACGCCTACCAAGACACTTTCACAGTAGTTCTGTGTTTCTCTCCCCTCCTCCTGTTTCATACACAAATATGTGGGATCAGTCTTGTATCTAGATATTAAACATATGGATTCTGAGCACATACTGCAGGTATGATTAACATGTGCTCCTCACCTGAATCTGTTCCAGAGTCTTCCCCATGTGCTTCAGTTTATTTTCTTCTTTCTGAAGAATCTGCTTGGAGTTTGTTTGCATGTTGTTCAGCTCCCTCTTCAGTGTGTGTTGCATAGAGACACACATGATATGTTTAGTTTTATGATACTGGTGTTAGCTTTATAAGTAGGATAAAGCATTTCAGTAAGGTTTTCCTTAAGTTACTGGTAAAGCACTTATTGTTCTTATAGCAAAGTCCTTAGGTAATGTATAATTACAGTCAATTGACTGTTTTTGGTTTTTATTTTTCACTTGCAGCACATGATTAGCTGAACTGGATGCAGATCTTGCATGCATCACATACTGTTTACATTGCAGACCCCTGTCTGGTCACACAGTGATATCACTACATATCACTAGCGATTCTATTCGCTAGCGGCCCAACACATTGTACGTGCGGCGGGACATCTCTAGGTGGTTGACCAATCACAACAGAGCCGGCCAGTGAACCGATCAGCGCAGACTGGGCTCTGGTTTTAGACAGAGGGTGCAGCAGCACAGGCAGTATGAGAAAATAAACAGCTTTTTGAACATTAAAGCATGTAAAATGTCACAGTAGAGGCACACAATACAAATATGAACCCGAGAATTCCCTCTTTAAATAGAACAACATTTTTTATTGTAAGACTTGGTATGCCTTTAAAATTGATGATATACTGTAGTTTGTGTAGCAAGTTTTTACAACAAAGTTTGAAGAGTGCATAGCAATCAATACAAACAACACAGGAGAAGGTAACACAAGCAAAGCAGAGGACAGCGGCATACCAAAGCACACTTTCTGGTTGGGTTAAAAGTCGGTGGAGTTTTGACAGCCCTTATCAGTGGTTGAATTAATTAAGGATCAAAATGCTCTCCAGCGGCTGTTTAAAAGCACCCAAGGTTTTCAGGAAATAGCAGGAGGCTCAATATGTATAACTGGTGCATTGTGATATATTTGTTCTTGTTTCAATTATAATTATGAGAGCAGTTAAGGCCAAAGTCTTAATTAAAGGCCACAGGCTTCATATTATTTATAACAATTCAGGGAAATGCCGCAATAAAGGAATGAAAACGATCACCAAACATCAGCAGGCAGCAATAAAGGAGGTTGTTTAGAGCAGGGGTTCCCAAAGTGGAACCCCGGGGGGTCGCGAGATAATTCAAAATAAAATAAATAAATAATTATTTATTATTATTATTAGTGTTTCCCACATAATTTGATTCCATTTGTAGGGGCATTGACACCAGCCAATGAGATTTTGTTTTTTGGTTTAAGACCCCTTTGTACTTTCACGATTGGTTGCTGATACAAAGGAAATGACCATATTTGGATCCGATGAGATTGTGCAGGAGAGACGGAGCTTTCGAACGATACCTCTGTTGACATGGTGCAAACAGCGGTCGCGGTATTTTATGTTACGTTAGAAAGCTAACTTTTGGTGAATGTAGGAGACACCTACAGATGCAAATAGTCAAACTATAGTAAAATAAACACCTAAATGTGTATTTTGTACATTTTCCTTCCAAAAGCCTGAAAGAAAAACATGTTATGGAATCAAAATAGCACAACATATCAAAATTGACCAGTTGCCTGCCGCGTCTCGCCTTAATGAGTGAGACCAGCGCGTGAGACACACCGGAGTTGAGGATCTGTGGGGTTTGTATGTTAATGTGGGGAAACACTGTTATTTGTATGACAATTCACTTGATAAAAACTTGGATTTATTATTGATATAAATAGGCGCCAAAAAGTAAGTAACTTCCTCAAACAAAAGTGGAGGGAATTGTGAATCATGTTTGAGTTATTATTTCCTGAGGGGAGCATCAGAATATCTGCCCCGCCCCAAAAACATATTCAACTTTATAAGCAAACCTTTGCTCTTGTTCTAGGCATCGAAAACTATTCTCTTCACTCGCACAAATACAACGTTTAAAGGACAGCAAAAGTCTCATATCAGATATGGCACTTTTCTTTGTGTTTGTTTCACCTACCTGTTTGCGCCTCCTCTCCTCCCCCACGGTACCAATGGAGTGCCCGCGGTGCTCGGACACCGCGCACAGGGCGCAGATGAGCCGCCGGTCGGTGCAGCAGTAGTTCTCCAGCGGGCTGTGGTGCTTCTCACACAGGGTGCTGCCCGCAGAGGGTCCTGCATCTGTGAAGGTGCAGGGTCTCTTCTTCGAGGCCGATCCTGAGGGGTTCTTCCCTTTGTACATCTTCACAGGGAGGATGCTAGGCTCTAATGCGAAACTTAACTCTGGTTTCATTTCCTTCTCGTATTGTGGGTGTGCCTAAAATAATTTAAACTGAATGTAAAAGGGAGGGGAAAAGAAAGGGCAACATTTTTTTTTAAAGTTGTGTTGATGAGGTTGATGAAAAATAAAATGGAAGCTCATTAAACTGGATTCCTTAGCTATATGTGTGTGTGCTGTGCTTCAGGAATGTGACATCAACTTAAAGGCGGTGGGGGTTCATTTACTGTTCCTACATATTTTTTTACCAGTAGGCTACCTACAGCATTCTTTAAGAGCGTGTTTAATAGTATCTCAGGCCCTAAGATATTCTAAAAAATAATATTTGAAAACATTAAAAAAAAAGACATTTAAAAACAGAATGAACAATTTAACAACAAAAAAACATTACATTTTTTTTTTGTTAAATGTTTCATTAGTTTTACCAAAATAACTTGATTTAATTGTATTTAAAATAACATTTCCAAAGAAATAAATCCTTCGAATCTGCCTGTTCAGTTTCTGTTAAGGGTTAAATGCCGTCTCTGCGAGTTACTGTGAAGACGGGAGAGCTTGTTGGTCCCTCTGTACATTCACAGAGGGCCAGTGTTACGTGCCACAGTTGGTGCTTGTGTGTGTCTCTCTCTCCCTGATTGTCTCCAGGTGCAGCCTCTCCAGGTGCTCCCAATCCCCAATCAGGGCCTTCTTAAAGGACCTGAGGAAGGCTGCAGTCTCCCTCTCCTTCGGCTGCATGTGTGCAGCATGGTGTCTATGTCTATATGTGTCTATGTCTCTCTGTCTCTCTGTGGGACCTGTGTTTCGTTAATCATTAGGAGATGTGCTCCACTATACATTTGTACCTTAGTTTACTTTGCAAGTTGGCTGGTGAGCCCTTTTTCTTTTTGTCCATTAAAAGACCTGCTTGTGGTTTCAGAGATCAGCTTCCTGTCCTTTTTCTCTTGCCCGGTTATTTTGGTGTTTTGTCACTTCCCTTTGTACCCCTAGTTTAGGAGGGAACGTAACAAATGGGGGCTCGTCCGATCTTTGAGACAAGGAGTGAGTATTTGTAGGCGGTTTAGTGTGGTCCATTGCCGGCGTGGTAGGTCATCTCCTCCTATGGCGCCATCTCCTGGGTCCCAGATGTAGGGATGGATGTGGTAGGGCCCGGCTAGCTCGCACTCCTACCTCCAAGCAGCCGCCAACCATGCATCTCTGGAGAGGTCCTCAGAGGTGGAATTGAGAATCTCTTGTGCTGCCTTGTTGAAGGGGAGGCGGGATCGGTTGCTTCAAAACATCAATGAAGAAGTGGGGCCTGGCAGACAGTGCTGCATGTGAGTGCGGTGACCCTGAACAGACTGCCGAACATATAATAACCACCTGCCCTTTTATATTCGGAAGCCAGGCTCTTCGACGTAGGACCAGAGATGCGGGCATGGCTACACAACACCGAGTTGGACCTCTGACATTACACGAAAGAAGAAGAAGAGTGAGTATTTGATTGTTGTGTAGTGTTGATGATTGTCTTTGGTGGTAGTAGTGGTGTATACAAGTATAGCATTGGCTGAAGTCTCTACTGTTGAACAGCTTCCTCAGTTTAGATAGGGGAGTGTCTAGCTGGGCTGAATCAGTCTTTCCTTCAGGCACTCATTTATTATTTTGCCTTTTTTATTTTCGGGGTTATCCTGGCTGGAGATTTAGCCCTTGTTGGGGGCAGGCGTTTCAGGGTTTCGGCCGCTGATGTTTGCCTTTTTTTAAAGTCGCCTCGAGCCCAGCACGCTCCAGAAGATAGGTAGGTTTGTGGTAGGCAGGATCTGGGGAAGTTTGTTATTTGAAAGAGTCGATGTTTGTGTAGCCTCAGATATTTTGCCATTTAAGTGTGAGTGTTGAAAATTAGTTTGTGTTTTAGTATGGCCTCCCTTGTGTGGAGTGAGTCCTCTCATACTGGTTCTAAAATAGATGCCAGGTTGAAAGTGAGATTAGCTCGTCTACACAGTGGGAGAAGGAGGAGCGTGAGTGAGATTTTCAGCTCAGGAGGGAGTTGGAGGTCAGAAAGTTGGATACAGACACAGCTTTCAGGATGCGTCAGCTAGAGCTGCAGACAGGTTCAGTGGGATCCTCTTCGGGTACACAACCATTGACAGGTTCTGATGCTCCTTTTGATGTAAGTAACAACATTCAGCTGGTTCCAGTATTTCGTGAGTCTGAAGTTGAGTCATACTTTGTTGTGTTTGAGCACATTGCTGCTGCTTTGCAATGACCGAAATATATGTGGGCCATACTTTTACAGTGCAAGTTAGTTGGTAAGGCTCAGATGGTTTGCTCTTCTCTTTCTGTTGAAGATTGTATTGTGTACGAACAAGTTAAATGCGTTATTCTCAAAGAGTATGAGCTTGTGCCTGAGGCTTATAGACAGCGTTTTCGTGGCCTAAAGAAAACACCTGGCCAAACTTTTGTAGACTTTGCAATAGAGAAGAGAAAGCTATTCAACGGATGGCGTAAGCTGTAAGGCATCAAAGGCTGACGACTTAACTTCAGTTTGTGATCTCATAGTGCTGGAGGAGTTTAAAAACTGTGTCCCAGAACATACAGTTGTTCATTTAAATGAACGAAAAAGAACCTCCTTGCAGCAGGCTGCCACTATGGCGGATGAGCTGGTGTTAATGCACAGTGGTGTTTTGGCTCAGAGCAATCCCCATCGTGTTTCTTTCCGGAAAGCTCGTAACAGGCGTGCCACACATTCTCATTCTGTTTCTCTTCTCAAGAAAAAGAGATTGTGTTTCTTTTGTCTTGACCCTTACCTGGTCATCTAGTGGCAGAGTGTGTAGCTCGGAAGAAGCAGGTGGCAGCTTCCAAGCGGTCTGTGGAAAAGCCAAAAGACCGGCACCCAGTTGCAATACGACAGAGTGGTGAGTTGCAGTTAAGTGAGAGACAGCAAGCGCATTTCGTGGCATCTGCAGGCAGTGGCAAGTCCTTCCGGCATATGCCACAGAGGCCGCTACTCTGTGGTAGCTGTGGCAAGTCCTTCCGGCATATGCCACAGATGCCACAACTCGCCGAGGCATCTGCCGCTGCTCAACGGGAGTTGCCACAAGATGCCAGAGTAAGAGAAGGTTTACGGTAGCTGCCACTCGCCTTCCGTGGCAAATGCTGCTATTTAAACCCGTATTTATCGTGTAAAATGTCGCTGTTTTGGCATGACTTTATCGAACTGATCTGTACAGATCAAGTGCTTCATCCAAAAGGACAGGAGGATGGACTTTGTGTTTAAGTGATTTGATCATCAAAGGTAGGCCAATGCGGGCCGCCGTGCCGACTTAATTCATTTGTAATTGTTACTTGGCTGTGGTGGGTGCCCTGTCATGATAGGTGTTTATATAAATGGTGTAGTTTTGTGCTATGGTTTTGTGTGGTAGAGGGTCGCTGTCATTGATGCGTTTTGCACCCCGGGCCGCTGTTTTGATATTCCGCTGAAGTATACACTGTGACGTAATAACTCTATAATAATTTTTTTCGAGGGAAGGGGGGGTCAGAGGGCCTAGGTATAAAAGTCACGGCTCGCCACTGCTCAGGTCATGTTCTGAACATTATTTTAATTCAGATGTATGTCTAATGCTCACTTCACAAAGGCTGGTCACATTTTTGATGAGCAAAGTCATGACTTGGGCTTGTTCGTACTCACAGCCCTAGTCTAGAGATGAACTCCCCTGTTTTTGATTTTGCTTATTTCTCGGTCTCTGAAGTCTTACAGGGTTTGCACTCAATTGATCCTAAAAAGTCTGCTGGGCCTGACGGCCTCGAACCGTTCTTTTAAAAAAATTGCAGCTCAGATTATAGCACAACCAGTAACTGATATTTGTAATCTCTTCCTGTAGGCCATAAAGTGAACCCTGTTATCGTTTCAACCCGCTCCACAGAAGTGGAACTACACAATCTTTAGTTCATAAAAAAGAACGAGTCATGCTTATCCACCAAAAAAAAGTTTGTCGCTAAAATTCCTGTCAATTCTTCTAGGCACGTAATTATTGGCTGAACTAGTCCCTTCAAAGCGTAATAATATCTTGGTCAAAAGTAGTGCCACGGTCCGTCACGTGATCGCGCTTTCCCCACAAAGGTTCATGTGAACTTAGTTCATGTGAACTCTTTTATCGCGTTCACACCAAAAAGAGCCGGTACTAAAATTAGTTCATGTGAACCTTTTTACCCCCTCGAAAGTCCCTGCTAGAGAGCAGGGACTTTCGAACGGCTCTTTTGTGAGAAAAGAGCTACATTTCTGATTGGCTGGAAGGATTGCAAACCACGCCCCGTAAAACTCCCAAAAAGTTTTGTGAAGCCGCCATTTTATTATCCTCGCATTAGCATTATTAGCATTAGCATTAACCCAGCGCAGAAACGCAGAGAGACTAACTTATGACAACACAAAATAAAACATGGGAGTGGTGGAGATGAGGAGGTGTCGGCGTTCTGGCGATTTACTCGGAAGGCTTCAGTAGAAGCTGCTGGGAGTCCCAGCAGCTTCTACTGAAGCCAGTCCCTAACTCCGGGGACTTCCGGCCGGGGACTTTGGGCGGCAGTATACGCCGTGAAGTGGTTTGCGGCCTGCCAGTAAACCCAAAGCAGAAGAAGAACAAGTGACGTCAGCGGCTTCATTTGCCTAATCCACCCCCAGGGACTTTTTCCAGTGTGAACGCGATCTGTACTTAGTTCATGAGAACTAAAGAGTTCTCATGAACTAAGTTCACATGAACCTTTGTGGGAAAAGGTGAAAGCGCCTAAGCTCTGATATCGCCCCTCTTGAAAGCTGGTGATCCCATGAGTTGAATAACTATCGTCCTATCTAAAATATTTCTGAATCTTTTCAATCACATGAATCTCCCGCCCCCGACATACAAAGCAAAAAAAACCGGGGATTTTATGCGAGCAATATATATATATATATATATATATATATATATATATAAACTCCCCAAACAGGCGAAAACCTACCAGTTTCACCCACTGTCTCTGCCACCTCCCT